GCCCCTTGCCTGGGATTACAGGCATGCTCCACGACACCCAGCTAAAAGTAATATAATTTAGTACAATAATTTTGGTTTACTTTTATCTGTTTGTATTGATATAAATATACTTCACTTTTTATGTTAGTCATGAAATTACCTCATTCATATCTTTATTATCAGCTTAATTGAATTTTTTAACAAGATGAAGAAATGGGAAGACATGGCAAATCTACCCCCACATTTCAGAGAACGTACTGAGAGATTAGAAAGAAACTTCACTGTTTCTGCTGTAATTTTTAAGAAATATGAACCTATTTTTCAAGACATTTTTAAATATCCCCAAGAGGAACAACCTCGTCAACAGAGAGGAAGAAAACAGAGGTAGGTTTTTATATCCATTTCTTGGGAATAAGTGTTTGTCTTTCTGAGTTAGTTTTGATACCTCTGTTAATTTTGCTAGTGTTAAAAAAGAAATGTGATTTCATAAAGAATTTTTTCCCAAGAGTTTTCTTTTAACAATGATTTTTACTTTTCATTGTGTGTTATGAAAAGTTTGGCTTCTTTCATTTTGCAAAATGTATGGGGTCTTTGTTGGTATAAACTTTCCCTTTTTATTTAATCAACCAAAAATGCATACTGCACAAATCAGACGTTTGGGGTATTCAGCAGTCAGCTGTCCTTGGTATACACTGCATATTGACTGTAATATTTTCTATTATTGACTATAGAGACTATTCTTTAATTTGATTTTTATGCCAAATTGAATAATAAATAACCCCTGAAATGACTTCGCCATGTATTTTGATATTTATTATCAGAGTACAGAAACTGGACTCGAGAAGGCTAGAGGGAACTGAAACTATTATGAATTTGTGCTTTCTGATCAGCTCTGCAAAGTCAGTAACTTATTCTGGCTCATTGTCTTTTGTCTTTTGTCTTATAGCTAAGGGCAATCAGAGGATACAGATTTGACAAAAGATTTTCTATAAAATAGAAATGGAAATTTGTGTTTAAAATAGAACTAGAAAAGTGTTGATAAAGTGCAGGAAAAGGAGTTATGTTTGACTGGAATGAATAATGTTTGCTTCTCATTATGGAAAAGTTTTCCCAAGCTATGAAGGATGTTTACAATAAGTACAAACTTTGGAAAATATGACAAACTACAGTTTTAAAAAAGTTTTTTAGTTGTAGATGGGCACAACACCTTTATTTTCTTTATTTACTTTTATGTGGTGCTGAGGATCGAACCCATGTGTCACATGCTAGGCAAGCACCCTACTGCTGAGCAACAACTCCAGCCCAGAAACCAGAGTTTTATATAGTTGACACTACTGATATGGAAGCAGCTGGTCTAGTTTGCTTGAAGTTTGGGAGATTGACTATTTGCAAATTAAGTATTTTAAACTTTGGATACAATTTTTTTTTAAACTTATTTATTTTTATGTGGTACTGAGGATCAAACCCAGGGCCTTGCCTGTGCTAGGCGAGTGCTGTACTGCTGAGCCACAACCCTGGACACAAGTTTTATTTTGTGTTTCAGCAAGGCCAGTGTGATTGTTTATAGAAAGATATAGAATATCTTTTTTCTTTGGAGTGTCTAGAAACTGATTTTATATTGCACATGTTTTGATATTTATTAGGCTATATATACTACCTGTTTCTATTTAAGAAAATTATAGCTGGCACTATGATGCCTGCCTGTAATCTCAGAAACTCTGGAGGCTGAGACAGGAGGATTACACATTCAAGCCTAGTCTTGGAAATTTAGTGAGACTCTGTCTCAAAACAAAGAAGTAAAAAGGGCTAGGGATATGACTCTGTTGTAGAGTACTCCTGGACCCAATCCCCAGTATCACAAAAAAAAAAAAAAAGAAAGAAAGAAAAGAAAACTATAAAATTAATTTAAATTTTGTGTTTGGTGGGGTACCACAATTGAAGCCAGGAGCATTCAACCACTGAGCTACATCCCCTGCCCTTTTATTTTCTCTCTCTCTGTGTGTGTGTGTGTGTGTGTGTGTGTGTGTGTGTGTGTGTGTTGCTGGGGATTGAACCCATGGCTTTGTGCATGCAAGACAAGCACTCTACCAATTGAGCTATATCTCAGCCCTTATTTTCTGTTTGAGTCAGAGTCTCACCAAGTTGCCCAGACTGAACTTGTGATCCTCCTGCCTCAGCCTCCTGAGTAAATGGGAATATAGGATTGTACCACCTTGTTTGGTTATTAAAAATTTTTATATCACTTTTTTTTTTTCTGGTGCTGGGCATTGAACCCAGGACCTTGCCCAGGCTCTTCTAAGGTACTCTACCCTCCCCCAGTCCTATAGCATTCTATACTTTTTATTATCATTTTCTGCTTACAATAATACTAACAATGTATAGCACTTACTGAGCATTTATTATGGGGGCAGGGACTCTTCTAAAACATAAACAGATATCATTCAGTTAATCTTCATGACAATCTTATGAGATTGATATTATTGTTACAAATGGGGAAAATAAGCCTCTGGGAGGTAATTTGGCAAGTTCACACAATTGATGAGTGTGAAATTACTATTGAAACTAAGGTAGTCTGATTGCAGAATCCCTGTGCTTCATTATGACTGTATGCTACATCTCACACACATTATAATTTGAAAGTTTGTCATCAGGTATTTATTGAACACTTACCTGAAGGAAGTACTTTGTTAGGTTTTATGTAGGACACAGATATTCACAAAAAAACCCCATAGTTTCTGTCTTTTGAGCATTTACAGTGTTGTCAAAGTGAGGAGGCAGATAAAAAGACTCCCGTTTGTGTGATACATCTTATTACAAAAGTCACCAGAATGCAATAGATAGTAGAATATAGAATTTCTGAAGCAAAAATAAATCTGGATGAGTGAGTCGGGAATGGACTAAATAGAAATAGGTCTTAAAGGATGGGCAGGATTTTGACAGGTAAATTTGGAGAAAATGCATAGCCTTCTGTGTGGAGGAAAAACAATAGACAGAAGCAGCAAAGCAAGAGGAAATTTGGCAGCAGGTAGGTTAGTCAAATTTTTTTTTGAGTTTTTAAGTTAAAAATCCAGAATTTAGAGCGGCTCGAATATTAAACTAAAAATTTTGAATTTTATCTTGATGGGCAATCAAAGCTAGAAATAATTTATCATGTACTGTGGTAGGGAAGCTACTTTTAAAAGTAGATCACTGACTTTTAATTCTTGTCATGGAATTGCTGAATTAAGTACACAGTATTATATCCAAGTAGAATAAACTTTTGACAGATAGAGGACTAATGCTCAGGGAGAGAAATGTACCCAGCTAATGGGGATACTGGAACTAAACCCAATCTCCTGATCATCTTCAGGGTATTTTGCTCTTCTTGACACCCTGTTATAATAAGGCTTTTGGGATGTAGAGATCACAGATGTCTTGTCTGAACATTGGCAGAGGTTTTTTTGGAAAGCCAGATTTAAAGCAGATCTGATCAGACAACTTGGCAAAATATAACAGGTACTTTCAATGAATGGAAGTGTAAGGGCTTGTAGGAAGGCCAGAATTTACCTTAACAAGATCTGTTTATGATTTGATGTAGTTGGGAATATTTTTAGGGAGATGTATTTCAGCTATGAGAGTGGGGGGGGCAGAGGATATGCGACCTCCTGTAGGAGTCTTAAAGCAGCATTAGCTATGATAATGTTATAAAGATAATTACTGTTTTTCATTTTATTTTCTACCCTATGTATCTTTTTAAAAATATTTTATTTTATTTTATTTTGAGTTGTATTTGGACACAATAACTTTATTTTTATGTGGTACTGAGGATCGAACCCAAGGCCTCATGTGCTAGGCAAGCGCTCTGCCACTGAGCCACAATCCTAGTCCTGTATCTTGACCTCAAAACTTTAAACATTTTTTCAGATATTTTTCTTTCTGAGATGAGCTCTTTCCTTGGCTCCCAGTTATTTCCTCACAGTGTTTGGTTGGGGGTAGAATTTCTTACACATTTTCCCTGTGAAGCTGAATCTGGTATTATCATTCCTCTAAGTGTGGGTTTTGTGTCACACCTAATTTGTAGTCATTTGGGATGTCTTTTTCTAATTCTTCTGTTGTCTCATGACCTTTTTTTCCTCCCCCAAAGGCGACAGCCCTGTACCGTGTCTGAAATTTTCCATTTTTGTTGGGTGCTTTTTATATATGCAAAAGGTAAGAAAAGAGTAATATTTATTTACATATTAAGTAGCTTATTTAAATTTTAAGATATTAATTTTATCAGCCTGTAATATGTCTTAGGAAGAACAGATCCTCAATGAAAATTTTCTCAAGGATTTGAATCCCAGATTCTTTTTATACCACCTTTTTTTAAAAAGGGTCTTTTGTAATTCTTTACACCATCCAAATCTTCTCTTATGAAATCGAGAATCCTTTAATTTTGTTCTTACTCAACATCTTTTGGACCCAAAGCTATTCTTCTGAATTTCAAACTAAAAACACTTTCTATTATGAACTGTATTTTTCTTGACATGTCATTCAGCTGAATGGGACTGACCAGCCTAGAGCAGTTCAAGTTATTATCTGCATCTTAATCAGCTAAATATACTTAATCAAATGTTATGTTAGGTTTATTTTCTCTCCCTTTCTTATCACCCCATTTCACTTATTCAAGATCTCATTCACTGAATTATGTTTAGACTTCTGTATTTCTACTTAGGAAATATTCTTAGATATCTAAAGGAAAAAAAAAGAAAATATAACTGGTTAGTTACATAGCTTTTTTATATTATGTGGCTTATCTTTGCCTGTAAGATAGCCTAATAAAATATAAAGTTAAAAACAAAGTATCATAGAACTGGAAGGATTTTCACAGATAAGGTAGTTCCTTCCCCTTTATCTGTGGAGAATACATTCCAAGACCTCTAAGTGGATGCTTGAACCCACGTGTGGTTCTGTATCTCATGTTCTTTTTTTAAAATTGCTTTTATTTTTTAAATACATTAGAATGGAATGCATCACAATTCTTACTACACATATAGAACACAATTTTTCGTATCTCTGTTTGTTTAAAAGTATGTTCACACCAATTCATGTCTCCATACATGTACTTTGGATAATGATGTCCATCAAATTCCATTATCATTGCTAATCCTCTGCCCCTTCCCTACATGTTTTTTTTTTATACATACCAACATAAAGTCTAATTTGTAAATTAGGTATCATAAGAGATTAACAATAATAACATAATAAATTAAAACAATTATAGAATATAAGAGTTATGTGAATGTGGTTTCTCTCAAAATATCTATTGTACTTTAGATCTTAGCAACTTCAGCATACATTTTTTTTTCCTTAATAAGTCAAGAACTGTCACTTTTTTACCTAAAGGTAGCACTTTAGGGCTTCTCTGTGGCATATCTAGGTTGCTGGCATTACTACTTTTGCTCTTTGAGGTTATTATTAAGTAAAATGAGGGTGAACGAAAAACTGCTATACTGTGACAATGGATCTGATAACCAAGAAGACTACTAGTGGATGGATAGTGTGTACTGCATGGATACACTGGGTGGAGCAGTGAACAGCAAAACAGATTTCATTTTATTATTTAGAACAGTGCACAATTTAAAACTTACAAAGTGTTTATTTCTGGAACTTTTCTATTTAATATTTTCAGACTGTTGACTTAATATCTGAAATTGCAGACAGTGAAACCATGGATAAGGGGAGATTTTGTAGAAGAGATCCTCATTATTAGATCAAGTATCTCAATTTACTCACTTTAAAATTGGGCAACTGAGGCCCAGAGACTAGGTATTAGGAACAGAGCTAGAATTTGAACCCAGACCTCCTGGCTCCTGATTTCATGCTAAATATGAAAGCTTCTAGCAAGGATGTGTCATGCTATTTGTCTCTAGATGTGGTTTGTTTGGCTACAGCTGGTCTTCTCTAGTTAGGTGACAGACATCCGTACTTCCTTGAGCTGTGTGCTTGATACAAAAGAAGTCTTGTCTTCTGTCAAATGTGAACGATATGCTGTGCATCAGTCTGGCAGCTTTCTGTAGTAGGATAAAGGTGACATGATCTGTGGTGTGAAATAAAGGGTTAGGAGTCTATAAACCATTTTTATAATGGCTGCAACAAGTTTTAGCTTGTGGGGCTGATATTATATATGATTTTCAGATGATTGTATTGGGAAGGTATGTCTGATTTTCAGGAGTTTTATCTGTTTTGTTTGTACTTACGAATAAACATATTTGGTACCATAAAAACTATTAAAATATTATTTGTTGTCCTCACTTGATCAACTGAAGTGGTGTATTTTTTGTCACTTCAAAGAAATCAGTGTTTGAATCTTATTAATTCAGTCTATAACAACTTGATCCAAAGCTTTGTCCTTTTAATAATCTACCACTGTGGGTTTGTTGTTGTTGTTGTTTATTTTTGTTTAGGGTTTTTTGTTTTTGTTTTTTGAGACAAAGTCTGGCTATATTGCCCAGGCTGTCCTTGAACTCACAATTTTCCTGCCTCAGCCTCCCAAGTAGCTGGGATTACAGGTATGCACCCCACCTGCACTATGATCTTTTATGATGCAGGAGAATCTTTACTCAGAAATCAGCTTAATTAGTTTTCTTCAGTTCTTGATTTATTTGGGAGGATGATGGCCTCTATAGACACTTTTCATGATGACTTTTTCTGCAACATATGAGTATCCCAGACTCTCTCTAACTAAGAAACTTTTTGCTTGCTATCTTTGTTGATTTTATATGGTTAAGTACAAACCAGTGGCCAGTTTGGGCTCATCACACAAAGAATTTTGTGGTCAGAAAACCAATTGGTACCACTTCCTATTTTATAGGAAATCTCAAATCTTCTCATTCTTGATAAATTAGCCAAGTCTATGGGTTAAACAGCTTTCCAACTAGCTGTTTTCTTTCTTGATTGAAATATAAAGTATCTCACAAGGTGAGATTGATTTATAAGGTCAGGGTATGGAATAGAAAGAATGTCACATTGAAACAGACCTAGAATTTAAATTAGAAGCCGATCTTCAGGGGCATTTCAGCTTTTTGTCAGAAATTACAGTACTAGTGGTTTTTCTTCCTGTGGCAAGTACATGTGAGTGGCAAGTTTAGACTTGTCAGTGTGATGGGCTTTGTAGCTTGAAACCAGTAGGTGCCACTTCCTGTTTTATATATGAGGAATTAAGTCTAATATTAAAACTCTGTAAAGCCAAGAAAGTTCATTTGGATATATCAGTATAGAATTTAATTCATTAATGATCATTTGCCATATGGCACCAGAAGATTTTTTTATTTTTCTTTTTAATTCATTTAAGTTGAATTGTTGAATGTTTCCATTTGTATGAAAAAAGAACCATATATCCTGATATGCTGAGGTAAGTGGTAACTTTCTTTGGGAGAAAGGAGAGGAAAACCTGAAATGAAGTTCAGTGTGTGTACATGCATGCATTGGTAGGTATTAAGTATGGAAATGCTGAGGTTTGGAAATAGTTCTCCAGATAGATTAGCCATTTACATTGAATTTATCTGATATTAAAAGAAGGTAAAATCAATATGAAGCATATAAAGACAGTATTTGACCAAAAATGGAACAGAATTTAAGTTGCCAAAAAAACCCCCAAACTACTAGAAATATTTCTTAATTTATGAGAATAATAAAACAATTTAACAGCCTCTATAATTTGCTTTCAGTATTAGACTTAAACAGCACTGCTGGAAGGACACACTTCTGTAGTTTAGGTTTAAGTTTCTTATGTGTTTGTTACCAAGCACCAACAGTTACCTTGGATAGTAACTCTGTAATTTAAATATCTTTGAGTCCCTGTCGCATTAATTTCTATAAGTTTCTATCATGTAGAAAAGTATTAAAAATGTTATATTGGAGTTCTGATGGTTTTAAAGTATGTACATGAGAAATTGATTATGAGTCATAATTTCTAAATAATATCCATGTCAAATTGTTTCTTACAGTTTGAGGTAATTTATAAATTCTCCTTTTTTTTTTTTTCTTTTTGGTACTGAGAGTTGAATCCAGGAGTGCTTTATCACCATATCGCCAGCCCTTTTTATTATTTTCAAAAAGAGTCTCCTTAAGTTACTTAGGGCCTTGCTAAATTGCTGAAGCTGGTCATTTGCCACCTTACCCAAGTGCCACTATGCTCAGCCTATAATTCTTTTCAGAAATTTCAAAATCTAATGATAATATTAAGATTTAGTTAGCTACTAAGTATTTAGTAAGTGCTTATTTAATGAATACTGAATGAATGCATGACATTTTTAGTAAGGTTTTTGTTTGCATTTAACACTAGGAAATTTATTAAAATATATGAGTAATGTCTCAAAATGTGAACTTCCCAAAACACTTAATATAATTCTTGAGTCAACTTTGTATGATGTTGTATAGTGTCATTAAAATAAAGGAATGAATTATTTTTTAAAATATTGTAAAGTTGATGCTAATTTAATTCCATAACTGTCTATAATCCTGTAGGTAATTTCCCCATGATTAGTGATGATTTGGTCAATTCTTATCACCTTCTTCTGTGTGCTTTGGACTTAGTTTATGGAAATGCCCTTCAGTGCTCTAATCGTAAAGAACTAGTGAATCCTAATTTTAAAGGTAAGTGTTTATTTAAAAGATTCTTGGGCAACCCAGATTTCTACATTATGTTTATTACTCTTAGAGGTTGTATACATAATACAGATTTTCTAGCATCAGAGACCATGAGTATTTGAAAAAGCTTCCATCATCATAGTTATCCAGGACATATATGATAAAGGGTCAAAGCTCTCTAGACATTTTTTATTTTGGAGATATCACAGAGTTTCAAGTCTTAAGTGATAACTTTAGAAGTTTCTGAAATATGTACTCAACGAGGAGAAGGCATTTAGAAATTCAGAGTAACGGAAGATTACCCATGTTAAATATTGGATGTTGTATATTTATTTGTCATATAAAAATATTAAAATATATATATATATTTATTGCACAGTTTTATAAAAAGAAAGAAACTCAGCAAAGATGACATTAAAGCTGGTATTATTTTCAACATTGGCAAGGGTTTATACCTCACACACTCTGTAGAGGTGAAAAAGGATTTACTGTTAGAATCTTCTTTCCAGTTTTTTGCTATATAAGAGTAGTTATGGTTCTAAAATAAGTAAAATGAGCCAGGCACAGTGGCACATACCTATAATTCCAGTGACTTAATAGGATTACAAGTTTGAGGCTAGCCTCGGTAAATCAGTAAGGTCCTGTCTCAAAATAAAATTTTAAAAAGGGCTGGGGGTATAGTTCAGAGATACAGCTCTCCTGGGTTCAGTCCATTGTACCACCCACTAATTATTTTGACAATGCATTTAGTGTGCTTTAATTTACATAATTTCTATGAAATTGCAGTTCAGAATCCAAATTGTAATTTATAAAGTATATATTAAAAAGTATTTATGTAACTAATATATAAGCTACTTTTAGTTGAATAATACCATAGTAGGATTCTAGAGAGTTGTTGTCAATTTTGGAGTGGTTACAGATACAGTTTTACCTTGTCTATCAGGAGCAGAGATTTTTAAAATTAGCCTAGTTACTTACTTCAGTTGCTCCTGATTTGGTAAATTAATGTTCCTTGTATAGGTTGAGCATCCCTAATCTGAAAATACAAAATCTGAAGTGATCTGAAATCTGACACTTTCTGAGTTCAGACATGATGATCAAAAAGTTTAATATTTAGGGCTGGGTAGATACAGCACTTCCCTACCATGTACAAGGCCCTGATTTTGATCTCCAGCACTAACAAAAATAAAAAGTAAATTCAGATTTTGGAGCATTTGCAAAGTTGTATTTTTTTTTAGGTCTTAGAGCAATAAATTAATTTTTAATCATATCCAAATAGATAACCAAATAAAATCTTTTAAGTTGTGATATACTTTTTTAGAGTTGAATTAGGAACATATACACTATTAACTATACATTCATATGCTATTCAGATCTTGATTAGATTCTACATTTTGGCTTATTAAAATTTAATTTATTGAGTACTGATATCTCCATTTTATTATTTCTTCATCACAGGCCTATGTGAAGATTTTCACACTAAGGATTTTAAACCTTCTTCTGACCCACCTTGTGTCATTGAGAAACTCTGTTCCCTACATGATGGTCTTGTTTTGGAAGCAAAGGGAATAAAGGAACATTTCTGGAAGCCCTATATTAGGAAACTTTATGAGAAAAAGGTTTGTAAGTAAAAAGAAATAACAAGAAATTATTTTCTAGAGAAAGACTTGATTTCGTATGATAATTTATCTACCCACCTACTTATTTTTGGTACCAGGGATTCAATTCAGGGGTGCTCGACCACTGAGCCACATCCCCAGCCCTATTTTATATATTATTTAGAGACAGGGTTTCACTGAGTTACTCAGCACCTCACCTTTGCTGAGGCTGGCTTTAAATTCGTGATTCTCCTGTCTCAGCCTCCTGAGCCACTGGAATTACAGGAGTGTGCCACCGTGCCTGACTCATATAATAATTTAAAATCTCTTCTTTCATCATAGCTCCTCAAGGGAAAAGAAGAAAATCTTACAGGGTTTCTGGAACCTGGAAATTTTGGAGAGAGTTTGTGAGTACATCTGTTAAATAACCATGAATATGTTGTTTTAAAGAAGCTTATAGCTAGAGTAGGGAGGTGGACCTCAGATAACCAAAGAGTTAAATATATGTTGAATTATAGTAAATGAAGAAAAATTAAATAGATTAGTAATACAAAGTATTGGGGGTAGGAGAAAATGGATGGGCCAATAGTATATAACCTCAAAGTTTGATGTTTTTATTGTTTTGTACTCTGGGAATTTAAAATGTTTTATGAGAGAATATAGGAAGCAATAAAAATTCTGTTTTTAAATTTAGTGAAAATTGTTTTGGTTTTTTTTTTAATATTTATTTTTTTAGTTTTCGGCGGACACAACATCTTTGTATGTGGTGCTGAGGATCGAACCTGGGCCACATGCATGCCAGGCGAGCGCGCTACCGCTTGAGCCACATCCCCAGCCCAAAAAATTGTTTTTTGAATGATTAGTCACATCAAGCTTTTGCAACTTTATGGGTGAAAAGTGACAATGTGGAAATATTGAGGTTTTTCAGAGGTTCCTATAACAGCTGGGAAAGATAGCTAAGCTTTTCACCAGGAGTTGCATCTACCAGGCAGATTGGTACAGGGTATACACTATGAAACACTGTCAGTGAGATACACTCCCTGTGCAGTGGATGCACATAGTGTAGCAATCTTATGTTTTTTTTTTTTTTTTTAAGATAATTTTTTTTTTAATATTTATTTTTTAGTTTTCGGCAGACACAACATCTTTGTTTGTATGTGGTGCTGAGGATCGAACCCGGGCCGCATGCACGCCAGGCGAGTGCGCTACCGCTTGAGCCACATCCCCAGCCCTGCAATCTTATGTTTTATTCTCTTCAGTTTTTATAAACAGTGATCTCAAATGAAATTTAACTTTCAAAAATGATTAGAACTTTTAGTAAATAAAAAATGAAATAATTAAGTGGCCTGAAACATTAACTGAAATGGCAATTCTTTGAGAGAGAACATTTTGTTGTTTTTTCTTTTTCCATACAGTAAAGCCATCAATAAGGCCTATGAGGAGTATGTTTTATCTGTTGGGAATTTAGATGAAAGAATATTTCTTGGAGAGGATGCTGAAGAGGAAATTGGGACTCTCTCAAGGTGCTTGAACTCTGGTTCAGGAACAGAGAGTGCTGAAAGAGTACAGATGAAAAACATTTTGCAGCAGCATTTTGACAAGGTGAGTGGAGTCATCTCAGGAGAGTACAAATACAGGTGCAGATAAGCTGAGGGTTCTATTTTATTTTTGTAGTTCTCTGTGTTTTATTTGTTTACTGAATGAAAAAAAAAATAGTTCCATCCTACTTCTCTCAGTTAAAAGTTATCTTGTTAATTTACTTTTGGTTGACATCAACTTTGAAAGGTTTTAGTTAGGTCTGAGCAAAAGAGAATTTATTGTAAATTAAAACAAAAGTATCATGCTGATAATTTTTGGTTTTGAAAAGATGGGTCAATAGTATATAGCCTATGCATGTGATGAACATAGTAGGGATTTATAAAATGTTAAAAATTAACCTGAATTGTGGCCTTCATTGAAGAAACTGGAGAAACAAACTCTATTATTTAATAAAATTCTGTTAAAATGAGTTTCAGCATTGTGTGGTGTTAGTTAGACTGATAAGACTAAGATTTTCCCCTCCCTTTAAGTGAGTTGCTTCAGATTTGAGACTTATCTGCCTTTTTATTTCTAAAGGTATTTTATATACCATATTGTGTCTTGGACATTGGAAAATATATCAGTGAACAAAATAACCATGAATATGTTGTTTTAAAGAAGCTTATAGCTAGAGTAGGGAGGTGGACCTCAGATAACCAAAGAGTTAAATATATGTTGAATTATAGTAAATGAAGAAAAATTAAATAGATTAGTAATACAAAGTATTGGAGGTAGGAGAAAATGGATGGGCAGATGGAGCTACTATAGATAAGGTAGGAAAAGTGTTTGAGGAGGTAATATTAGCAGAGACCTAAATAAGTGAGGAAGCAAGTCATGGAAATAGCTGCAGAAATAAGTGTGAAGCTAAGAGAATAGCAGGCGCAAGGCTCTGAGGTAGAAACTCCATGTCATTTCTGAACAGTGAGAATATTAGTGCATAAGGAATGGAGTAAGGGAGGGGAAGAGTGATAAGAAGTAAAGGGAGGGAGGAGCAAGGGACAGCTGGGATCATGCAGGCTCTGGAGGCCTTTGTAGGAACTTTTCTTTTGCATTGATGGAAATGAAAGGTTTTAAGAGGATGTTTTTGAGGAGTGACCCCTGCTATGTGATCTGATTGGCCTTTTTAAAGGTCTTGTGGGGAAGTGGGGTCAGGGGCAAGGGTGAAAATAGGCAGTTAAGAGGCTATTGATTATCACTATTCTAGTGATAATTCATGGATGGTACCTTGATGGAGAGAGATGGCCGTATTTGGGTCACATTTTGGAGATGCCACAGGATTTATTGACATTTTGGATTAAGATGTGATAGATGAAAAATAATGACAATAGGGTGAGTGATATAAAAGCTAATGTCCTTACAAACGCCTGTGTGGTCTTAAGGGACCTGGCCCTGTTATCATTCTGAATTCATCTCCTATTTCTTTCGTCCTCATCCATTCCACTATGCCACATTAACTTCCTTTTGCATTTTTCAGATATGCCATGCATGCTGCCAACTCAAAGCCTTGGGCCTTGCTGTTTCCTCTGCTTAAAACATGTTTCTTCAGATGTTCACGTGGCTTACTTCCTCACTTTATTCTGATCTCTGATAACTTGATTACTATGTAAAATAATAACCACCAGCGTCCTCCAACCCTCAGGACTTCCTTTCTCCCGTACTCTGCTATTGATGTCATTTCAGTATTTATTGCTAGCAGTAAATAAGTAGATAGGTGGGTAGGTTGATAAGAAAGAATTGTTATCTATCTCCTTGTACTAGAGCACAAGTTTCATGAGGGATGTGACCATGTTGTTTGCAGTGTTCAACATATAATAGGCATTCCAAATATATTTATGGTTAACATTTATTGAAAGGGAAGAACAGATCTTGGGAGTGGATCAAAAGTTAGGGTTACGGCTGGAAGGCTGGGGATGTAGCTCAGAGGCAAAGCACTTGCCTAGCATGTGTAAGACCCTGGGTTCCATACCTTGCACTGCCAAAAAAAAATTAAAAAATAGGAGTTAAAGTTTAGCATGTTAAATCTGAGTTATGTCTTAGGCATCCTAGTAGAGTCATTGAGTAGGCAACTCAGAAATTCATCACTGGAGTTCACAGCAGAGGTTAAGATTATGTATACATACATGCATATGTATATACACACATACATATGTACATATGTATGTGTGTATATACATATTTTTTCTGGAGTCATCAGGATGTGGATGGCTTTTAAAGTTATGGAATGAAGAGAGATTACTTAGTGTGAGATAGAGTGAGAGAGAGAGAGAGAGAGGGAGAGAGAGAATTTTAATATTTTTTAGTTTTTGGCGGACACAACATCTTTGTATGTGGTGCTGAGGATCGAACCCGGGCCGCATGCATGCCAGGCGAGCACGCTACCACTTGAGCCACATACCCAGCCCCAGCAGTGTGAGTTTTAAGGACAGCTGCATTGCAAATTTTGGAAGTCTTCACTTGGAGAAGGAACAGCCTAGTATATATACGTGTATGTGTAAGTGTGTATGTGTTTGTTTTTGTGTTTTTTTTTTTTTCAGTACTGCAGAATTTGAAGCCAGGGTACTGTACCACTGACCTATATCCTCAGATTTTTTTATTTTATAGTTTAATTCAAGGTCTTACTAAGTTGCCCATGCTGGCCTTGAACTTGAGATCTTCCTGCCTCCACTTCCTGAGTAGCTAGGTCTAGAAGAGTACCATTGTGCCCAGCAACATCCTAGTATTTTTAAACTATCAACTTCATATCATACTTGAGTTAAAGAAAAATTCCTCTTGGTTAGAATGCACAGGGAGCTTTAAGTAAGTTAAACACTTAAAACAGTGCTACCAAATAGCTCCATGTTGACCTTGAAGAGAATAGGCAGGAAACTGGTTGTTATATTCTGATTTTCTCTATGAAAATGCTGCCTGTGGGTGATGTGGTTAAATGCTGCTGGCTGCTGTTGACTTCTTACGTGCACCAGGTATTTTTCTCCCTCAATTCAGGCACAGGTTCATATATGGTAAAGAAGTTGGCTCCAAGAGACCTAAGGCAGGGAGTTAATGCAGTTCATCTACCCAGATCATGTTATAAACTTAAAAAAAATGATAGGATGAATTTCCTCTAAACAAAATAAAATGAAGGTCTTAGCTCTACTGGTCTTTTTTTTTTTTTTCCTTTTTTAATGAGATAAGGGACAAGGTCTTGCTAAGTTGCGTAGGGCCTCACTTTTGCTGAGGCTGGCTTTGAACTCCTGATCCTCCTGCCTCAGCCTCCTCAGTCGTTGGATTACCTGGCATGTGCTGCCATGCCCAGCTAGCTCTACTGCTATCTGAGACACATGGAAAGCATACAGATTTAATGTAGAAACCACATAGATTTCTTAATTTTTTAAAAAAGATTTAAATTTGTTCTACTTAGTTGTACATGACAGCAGAATGCATTTCAATTCATTGACCACAAATGGAATCCAACATTTCAATTCTCTGGTTGTACACGGTGTAGAGACACACCATTCATGTAATCATACATGTACCTAGGGTAATGATGTACATCTCATTCTACCATCTTTCCTATCCTCATAACCCCTCCCAGTCCTCCCCTTTGCCCAATCCAAAGTTCCTCCATTCTTCCCATGCCCCACCACCATCATAGATCAGTATCCACTAATCAGAGAAAATATTTGGCCTTTGGTTTTTTGAGATTGCCTTACTTTGCTTAGCTTAATATTCTCCAACTCCATCCATTTGCCTGCAAATTATGCCATAATTTTATTCTCTTAATGCCGAGTTTTATACATTGTGTAAAATACCACAGTTTCTTTATCCATTCATCTATTGATGGACATCTGGGTTGGTTCCACAGTTTAGCTAATATGAATTTAGTGGCTATAAACATTGGTGTGGCTATATTACTATAGTATGCTGATATTAAGTCCTTTGGATATAGACCAAGGAGTGGTATATCTGGGTCAAATGGTGACTCCACACTGCTTTCCAAAGTAGTTGCACCAATTTGCAGTCCCACCAGCAATGTATGAGTGTACCTTTTCCCCCCACATCCTCTCCAACACTTATTATTGCTTATATTCTTGATAACTGCCATTCTGACTTGGGTGAGATGAAATTTTAGTGTCTGTTCAGTTCCTTAGCCCATTTATTGATTGGGTTGATTTTTTTCGGTGTAAGTTTTTTGAGTTATTTATATATCCTGGAGATTAGTGCTCTATCTGATGTATGTATGGTAAAAATTTGCTCCCATACTGTAGGCTGTCTCTTCACCTCAGTGATTGTCTCTTTTTGCTGAGAAGAAGCTTTTTAGTTTGAATCTATCCCATTCAATAAATTCTTGATTTTATTTCTTGCACTTTGGGACTTGTTAAGGAAGTCGGGGCCTAATCTGACATGTTGAAAATTTGGGCCTACTTTTTCTTCTATTCAGGGCAGGGTCTCTGGTCTAATTCCTAGTTCCTTGATCCACTTTGAGTTGAGTTTTGTGCATGGTGAGAGAGAGAAGTTTAATTTTATTTTGCTACATATGAATTTCCAGTTTTCCCAGTACCATTTGGTGAAGAGGCTATCCTTTCTCCAATGTATGTTTTTGGTGTCTTTGTCTAATAAGATAACTGTATTTATGTGGGTTGGTCTCTGTGTCTTCTATTCTGTACCATTGGTCTACATGTCTGTTTTGGTGCCAAAACCATGCTGTTTTTGTTACTACTCCTCTGTAGTATAGTTTTAGGTCTTGTATTGTGATACCTCCTTCACTTTTCTTCTAAGGATTGCTTTGACTATCTTGGGTCTCTTATTTTTCCAAATGAATTTCATGATTGCTTTTTCGAGTTCTATGAAGAATGACATTGGGATTTTTTTTTATATTTATTTTGTAGTTTTAGGTGGACACAATATCTTTATTTTACATTTATGTGGTGCTGAGGATCGAACCCAGTGCCTCATGCATGCTAGGCGAGCACACTACCACTGAGCCACAACCCCAGCCCCCGACATTGGGATTTTAATAGGAATTGCATTAACTCCGTATAATAGTTTTGGTATTTATGGCCATTTTGACAATATTGACACTGCTTATTCAAGAGCATGGGAGATATTTCCATCTTCTAAGGTCTTCTTCAATTTCCTTCTTTAGGTTCTGTAGTTTTTGTTGTAGAGGTCTTTTACTACTTTTGTTAGATTGATTCCCAAGTATTTTATATTTTTTGAGACTATTTTGAATGGGGTAGTTTAGAAACCACATAGATTTATTTCTGAGCTTTTCTATGTCAAGTGAGAATTGAACAGCTTGTTCTGATACCAGTTGAAAATTGTGCTAGGTGTTTTAAAAACTCTCTAGAGTAAGTAAATTTAATACTTAGGGAAATGTGGCTTGTCTTTTTTAAATATCAGAAATGCTCCTGAGGAGGACTGGGGTTATAGCTCGGTGATGGACTACTTGCTTTGTATGCACAAGGCCCTGGGTTCCATAATAATAATAATAATAATAAAAAGATAGTATTAAGCTACTTTAACTACTTTAACTTTTCAGAGTTTATGCAAAAATCAGAAAAGATACTTTATTTGCAGATGTATTTATGCTTAAATTCTTTGTCTTTAAGTTGTATCTTTTTTATATTATATACAAGAATACATTTCTGGGAAGACTTGTCTATTCCAGAGAGAAAAAGTGTGATAGAGTCCAATAACTAAAGATAGTGGAGGGGCAAAAAGATTGATGAAGATTGCTTTTCCTCAGATTGCCTTTTTGGAGAATGTTTAATCATCTCTCTGAAGGAGATTTGATGCTTTGGATGGACTTTGTTAACTCTTGGATTTTTACTTGGGCCAGATTTAATCCATAGCTTTCATTTGTCCATCTTTTGAGATTTGCAGACATGATGGTGAATATGAGCTGTCAAATTCTGTTTCTCAGACATGAGAATAATATTCTTAATTTTTAAAAACATAATGGTTTTCTTTGAGCTCAAGTTTTGAAAGAGAGATAATAGGAAGATACCTTAAAGTTTTAACTTTTTTTTCCCTTTGGTACTTGGGGATTGAACTCAGGACACTTTAACACTGAGCCATATCCTCAGCCCTTTTTATTTATTTATTTTTATTTTGAGACAGGGTCTTCCTAAGGTGCTTAAGGCCTCCATGAGTTGCTAAGGCGGGCCTCAAACTTGTGATCCTCCTGCCCTAGCCTCCTAAGTCACTGTGATTACAGGCATGTGTTACCTCACCTGGCTTAAAGTTTTAACTTTTAAGACACAAACATATAGTTGGCTAAAATAGTGTCTTGTCACATATCTTTACATGGATAATGGCGGCTCTTAGTTGCGTTATATTTAAATTCCAGGAAGGTGATAAATGAGTTGCTAAAATTTATTGATATTGTAAAGATAAGGTCTGATTGAATTAAATTCCTATTTGTGAAGTAACAGAGTCTTTCTTACCTAATAATTTTATTCACCAGTCTAAAGCACTTAGAATCTCCACACCACTCACTGGTGTGAGGTACATTAAGGAGAACAGCCCTTGTGTGACTCCCATTTCTACAGCTACACATAGCTTGAGTCGTCTTCACACCATGCTGACGGGCCTCAGGAATGCACCAAGTGAGAAATTGGAACAGATTCTCAGGTTAGTTTGAGCTCTGTCTACCTTTCCAAGATCGAGTGTTGATCATTTTCCAATTCTTATATCAATTTTCACTATTTTACCTCATTTTAATAATTGTATAGCAGTTGCATGCTCAGTCTTGTTGGTCAGCAGAGGACATAGTAATATAAGATGAATAAGCAGAAGATCATCTTTGCTCATATTTCTCTAATGTGATACAGGAAATGGTAAACTAACAATGCAAAACCCTGTATGATAAGGTATCAAATCTCATTATCAACTATTTTACAATTGTAGAAAAGGAGGTTGTGTGGTCAGTGTCAATGAGAGTTGACATAGAACTTCATGAAAGGGATTGGACCTGAACAAATTTCTGAAGGGTGGATCAGATTTGAACAGATAAGATGAAGCTTTGTGTGTTCATAAAGCAAGAGTAAAACCACTATTGCTTTTGAAAGCTCTCTAAAACACTCGGCCTACAAAGAAAGTTAACTGCCTCCCAACTCTAATCTTAAATACTCTCAGTGGGGTTAAATATTACCAGTAAATACTAGGTAAAATCAAAGGGTTTTGCATTTTTAAAAAGGTAAGTGTGTGTCATAAATAAAATTCTGGTTATATACAATACTTGGTAATTATCTCTAACAGAATTATAACTGGTTTTTTAAAAAATTTTTTTCCAAGCTTGTTATGTTTTTACAGTGAAATGTATATATTTATGATCAAGATAAACACACAGAGGTTACAAAGGCCCATATGGTGGTATTTGTATAATCCTTCTGAATTTAATTTATATTGCTTTCTAATAAAAAGAATCAATGACATAAACCTCATTTTGGTGAAAAAAAAAAAAAGAATGTCAGTAATGGTTTATGTGAGTCTGCAGTATAGGTTACATACCTCTTCCTGTTTTCTTTCAGGTGTTCTTAAAAGCACCTATGTTCTCTAGGGAATCAGTTGAAGGCAGTTTTTGGTTGTCATCAGTTATTGGGGATATGCAAGTTGAGTTTGGACCAGTCATGGCATTAGTTGGGCCCCAGGGCCAAGATTGCTAAGTTTACCAAAGTGAAGGGTACAGTGCCTCACAAGATAGCATAAGTACTTTTTCACTCCAAATAATAGTCTAGCCACCTTTGTAAAGGAAGCCTGGGATCTTCTGAATTAATTTGGAAAGTATATAGTGTCCAAAGATTTTACATTTACATGTTAATGAAATTACAGAGTTGTAATATTTTACCCTTTCATAACCTGATACAACATTTATATTAGATAGTTTTTTATTACTTTTTAGGACATGTTCCAGAGATCCAACCCAGGCTATTGCTAACAGATTAAAAGAAATGTATGAAATATATTCTCAGCATTCCCAGCCAGATGAGGATTTCAGTAATTGTGCTAAAGGTAAGGTTTATTATTTTATTTAAGTACATGGAGTCCTTTCTTGGTAATCCAGTCAGAAACATGAAAAGACTTATGACTAAATGGAGAGGTGTAGTGTGGCTATTTTTTCTCTTATCTGAGTGACTTCTAGGCTCCTCTCTGAAAGAAATTTTAGACTAGTATCTGTATTATGTTAGATTTTTTTTGTTCTTTTTTTTTATTGGTAAATTCTTTTTCATGTGTGTGGTTTAACCACTGAGCTGCATTCCCAGCTCTTTTTATGTTTTGAGACAGGGTCTCACTGAGTTACTTAGGGCCTTGCTAAATTGCTGAGGCTGGCTTTGAACTTTCCATCCTCCTGTGTCAGCATCTGAAGCCACAGGGATTAACAGGTGTGCATCACCATGCCTGGTGACTATTGGTAAATTCTTTAGTTTTCATTTGTAAACTGGAAATTAAACAAAACTATAGTGATTCTTCAACATAGTAAGAACAAGGATAGATAAAGGGTTGACTATCTCTTTTCTGAAATGCTTGGGACTAGAAGTGTTTCACATTTCAGATTTTTTTTCAGACTTTTGAGTATTAGATATACAAATTGAAATATCTTGGGGGACAGGACACAAATCTGAACACAAAATTTATTCATGTTTTATATATACCTTATAGCCTAATACTTTAATGCAATAGTTTTAGTGTATCTGTGTTTTGCCTGTGACATGAGTTCAGGGTTGAATTTTCAAATGACTCCATCCTGGTGCTTAAAAAGTTTCAGATTTTGGATCATTTTGGATTTTGGATTTCCACGTTAGGGATGATCAACCTGTAACTGGTCCATATGCCCAAACCTGGCCTGGGAATTGTTTGATGTCAAAATGGAAGCAAGTATGTGGAATAGTAAACCAATTACATATCTCTTAGCATCTGTCAGCTTCTCGTTACTGTAATAAAACACCCAAGAGTATTAACTTAGAAAAGGTTTATTCATCTCACTGTTTTGGAGGTTCCATTCCATGATCAAGTAGCTCCACTGTTTTGGGTCTCTTGGGGGGGATTCTGGATAACAATGTCAGGGAGTATGTGGTGAGGCAAACTCATCATAAGCCAGAAAACAACAAGAAAGAGACAAGAAGAGATGGGGATCCCAGTGCCTCCAGTGACTTAAGGACTTCCAATTAGGCCCCATCTGGTAAAGGTCCCATCACTTTCCCATAGAGCCACTCTTAGGACCAAGTCTATTATATGGGTATTTAGAGGATATTCAACATCCAAACTGTAGCATCATAGAACTATTTTTTTTCCAAATAGAACAAAAATGTGTGAATCTTAATGCAGTGATATTATAAATTTTTACATGCAAATTTCAGTTAGCAATTTTAGAAAAATATGAGTGTTACCATGAAGAATATAAAGAATTTTAGGGATAATTGAATAAGCTATTATAGAAAAGGCATATATCTGAAGTATGGGTTTGGTTTTTAAATTTTATTTTGTGGGTAGAGAGAGAGTGATGGGCCTTCATTTTCCATGTTGTTTATTTTCTTGGTATTTGATTTTTGTGTTTTTAAAATTATTTCTACAGAAATTGCCAGCAAACATTTTCGTTTTGCAGAGATGCTTTACTATAAAGTATTAGAATCTGTTATTGAGCAGGAACAAAAAAGACTTGGAGACATGGATTTATCTGTGAGTAAAACAGTTTCCTTCTTCTCTACTCAAAAATTTTAAAAAAATATAAGGTGGGGTAGAGAAGAGGGAAAGAAAGGACAGAAGAAGGAGGAAGGTGAGGAAGGAGGAAGAGCCATTAAAAAGAAATGATGTATGACTCTAGGGAATAAGATTGGCATCTCAGAATAGACTCAAATCAGGAAGATGAAAAGAGTTCTGGAGGTGGAGGGTGGTTATGGTTACATAAAACTGTTACCATACTTAATGTCACTGAATTGTAAACTTCAAGATGGTTAAATGCTGTTTTGTTAAGTATATTTTACCACAGTAAAGAATTTTTTTTAAAATCAGTTACTTTGGTGAATATAACTTTATTGGCCTCTAAATTGTAGCTGTTTTATATATATCCTTTAATATGTGCTTTACAAAAAATAAAGTCATAAGTCATAAAATAGCCCTTTAAATTCATACAGCAATTTATACACACATATACATATACACACACACCTTGTTCACCTCTCTCTCTATCCTTTGGTAACCTTTACTTAGTCTGTTTTCTGGCTGTCTTTTTATGAATTTATTTACCTATGCTAGGTATCTCATTTAAATAGAATTAAGTACAATATTTGTCCTTCTTAGTCTGGCTTAATGCACTTCTCAGGGTTTATCCACATTCTAGCATAAATCACAATTTTTCTTCCCTTTTGTTTAAACATTTTGTTTATCCATTCATTTTATGGTGGATATTTGGATCATTTCTACCTTTTGACTACTGTAAATAATGCTGCTGTTAATATTGGTGTAAAAGTATTTGTCAAGCATCTGTTTGAGTCCCTGCTAACAGTTCTTTTGAGATCTTCATACCTAGAAGTATAATTGCTAGATCATGGTAATTTTTCTTTTCCTTCTTTTTTTTTTGGTGGGGGGCAGGGTTGGTGGGGGAAGACAGTTCTGAAGATCAAACCCAGGCTTTTGAGCAAGCATTCTATTACTGAGCCACATCCCTAACTCCATGTGGTGATTATTTATTTAACTTTTTCAGGAACTGCCATACTCTTTGCCATAGCAGCTGTACCACTTTCTTTACATTCTCACTGGCCCTACACCAGGGTTTGGGCTTTCTCACATCCTCAAAACATTTGTTATTTTTCATTTTTGAAAAATATTCATCTTGATGGATATGAAGTAATATCTCATGGTGCTTTTGATTTGCATTTCCCTAACAATTTTTAAAATTCTAGATATTAATTCTAGATGTTAATTCTTTCTAGATTAGTTTTTTAAATTCTGTTAATCCTTTAACAGGTATCCAATTTGCAAGTATTTTCTCCCATTCTGTGGGTTTTGTTTTCACCCTGTTTAGTCTCCGTTCTTTTTTTTTTTTTTTAATATTTATTTATTTAGTTTTCGGCGGACACAACATCTTTGTTTGTATGTGGTGCTGAGAATCGAACCCGAGCCGCACGCATGCCAGGCGAGCGCGCTACCACTTGAGCCACATCCCCAGCGCTCTTTTTTTTTTTAAATATTTTTTTTAGTTGTCAGTGTACCTTTTATTTATATGCAGTGCTGAGAATTGAACCCAGTGCCTCACATATGCTAGGCAAGTGCTTTACCACTGAGTCACAATTCTAGCTCTCCAGTTTTATTTATTTATTTATTTATTTATTTTGGTAGTGTTGGGGATTGAACCCAGGGCTTTGTGCATGTGAGGCAAGCACTCTACCAACTGAGCTATATCCCCAGCCCCATTTATTCTTAATTTTTAAATTTTGATGAATTCTCATTTATCCGTATTTTTTCTTGTTGGCTGAGTAACTTTTTAATTCAAAAATAATAAATATTCATATACACTTTTGAGAAACTAATAAGCAAAGCAAATCACCTGTAATTATGTCACTCTACAATTAACATGTTTTTTGGCACATGGTCATCAAGCTAGTCACCTTCTTGCCTGCCTTCCAGCCATCTTTTTGTGACAGTGCCCTCTTACTGTGAAAACTGTTTTGTAATATCTTTTTACATTATTCTAAGCATCAGGGTGTATTTGCATTTTGGTTAGAGATGTCATATTTGATAATATACAAGATTTTTGTAAGTTCTTATATATTCCTTTATATTTTTGATAAAAGAAAGCTTATTTATAGAGTTAAGAAAGGTTCTGTAAGAAAGTAAGCACGTACTTCCACTAACTCAGAAAACAAGACCTTATCTGGTATTTTTATTTTAAGTATGAAATGTCCTTTTAGAGTAGGTTAATGTTTCTAAATGTTTTTAACTTTGTTTTATAGGGTGTTCTGGAACAAGATGCATTCCATAGATCACTCTTAGCTTGCTGCCTTGAGGTTGTCACTTTTTCTTATAAGCCTCCTGGGAACTTTCCTTTCATTACCGAAATATTTGATGTACCACTTTATCATTTTTATAAGGTATTTTTTCTTTTCATGTTTTTTTAATTGGTGCATTATAGTTGTATATAGTGATGGGATTTGTTACATATTCAAATATGCACATGATATTATAAGGTATTTTTTTAAAAGTATGGTATTAATGATCATGGATGAGATGAACTTCCTGTTGTTAGTCCTTAACAACTTTTTGTTTGTTTTGTGGTATTGGCAATTGAACCAGTGCTTTGTATGTACTAGGCAAGCACTCTATCACTGATACAACTCCCCAGTCCTTTTTGTTTTATTTGAGATAAGGGTCTTACTAAGTGGTCCATGCTGACCTCAGTCTCCTGAGTAGCTAGGATTACAGGTGTGTACCACCACACCCAACTGATAAAGGATTTTTAGAATACTGTGATTTCAGGAGTCTTACAAGGCTTTAAAAAGTAATGTGCACATCACTAGCTAATCTTGTATTGCAGCCTTTTTTTTTTGTTGTTGTTATGAAAGTTAAATAACATTGAGAGTAGTTTGAAAAAGTAAGTTCTCTAGCTGGGTGTGGTGGCACATGCCTGTAATCCCAGGGACTTGGAAAGCTAAGGCAGGAATGTTGCAAGCTCAAGGCCAGCCTCAGCAATTTAGCAAGGCCCTGAGCAACTTGGTATGCCTCTGTCTCAAAATAAAATATATAAAGGGCTGGTGATGTGGCTCAGTGGTTAAACAACCCAGGGTTCAATTCCTGGTACCAAAAATTAATAAATAATTTCCTATCATTACAGAGTGGCATTAATCTTTTAGCTATTTACTTCTTTTGTTTGGTACTAGGGATTGAACACAGTGACACTTTACCACTGAGCTACATCCCCAGCCCTTTTTTGAGACAGGGTCTTCCTTGATGTTAACTTAGCATATGGTCAAAATTAGTTTCTGTTTAAAGGGTTTTGATTTTTTTTTGTTTGTTTGTTTTTTTGTTTTTTTCTTTTGTGTGTATGCTGGGTATTGAACCCAGGGTCTTGTGCTGAGGCACACACCAGGCTCTTAGTATAAAATATTAACAGTAATGTTTTCATACTCAATATACAAAGGATATTTTTTCATTTACACATTTTGAAATATATCACTGTAGAAAATATTTTATATAATTTATGTATACATTAATTATTTACAAGATAGTAAAAGGAAGAACCACTGTTTCAAAATCAAACTTTTGTTAAATTTATAATTTTTGATATTTGTCTAAATATTGAAAAATATTTAAACAGATGTGCCCATTTTACTTTTATGCTCAGTAAAAATTTTTTGTGTGAAAAATCATAGTAATTATTATTATTAAATGATCCAAGGCCTTTTTCTTTATTTCAGGTAATAGAAGTATTCATTAGAGCAGAAGATGGCCTTTGTAGAGAGGTGGTAAAACACCTTAATCAGATTGAAGAACAGATCTTAGATCATTTGGCATGGAAACCAGAGTCTCCACTCTGGGATAGAATTAGAGACAATGAAAACAGAGTTCCTACATGTGAAGAGGTTTGTGAAAGTATCCTAACATCTTTTTATAAGAAAAGTACATCAATATCTATCCTATTCCAGTACCCTTTCACCAGACAGCATTTAAATTTAGTATTTTCCATGTAGGGGGTGAGAGGTTTGATAGTTGGCATTAATATCTACCTCTGTAAATATTAACAAGAGCCAGGAATAATTTGAAATTGTCCCAAGGTTTCAGTGACAGTAAAATTCAATGGTTTTTCTTGATTCCTGATCAAGTTTCTGTTCATTAGCATAATTGCCATTCTAACTCTCCAAATCAGTAATAAAGGTTGATTCATATTTAATACCCAATTTTCAGTTTGGGAGGCTTTTTAGTTTTAGTATGAAAATGGAAAAAGCTGATTTTATTAAGGTGGAAGAACTAATGAGCCAAGATAGTTTTCTTCTTAGAGTATTACTGTATTTCTAATGAAAATGCTTCTTCAAATATTACCATTTTGTGTGAACAATTATTTATAGGTCATGCCACCTCAGAACCTGGAAAGAGCAGATGAAATTTGTATTACTGCCTCCCCTTTGACTCCTAGAAGGGTGAGTGAAGTTCGTGCTGATACTGGAGGGCTCGGAAGAAGTAAGTTCAAAATGTTAGAAGGAATATTTTGGAACCTTGCACCAAAATCTGTGATTTGGTGCCACATGAATCATTTAAAAATAATGGTTTTAAAGAATATTTAATGAGGAAAATATATGACAGAACAAGAATCTTGTTTGTTGTGCTGGACATAGAACCCATGGCCTCATACATGCTAGGCAAGCACTCTACTTCTGAGTTTTATCTCTAAGCCTCAAGTTACTTTATAAAAGGATAGGATGCTATATATTTAATATGATCCTTATTTTTAAAGTGAATGTTTTCCTGAAAGCATAAAAATGGGCAGAAGTGGAAAAACCAACTTTTAAGAATAATTCTTGCTGGGTGATAGAATTCCCAGTGATGTCTATATTTTTTTAAAAAAGGGAAATGGGTTATTTTTAAGATTAGAAGAAGTAGAGAAGTCTTCTTAAGGTTAGAGCTGCATGAACCAATTAGGTAGAAATACCAGTGAGATAAGAGAACTTGGTGGCCTAAACACGTTCAGTTTTATCAGTTGAGCTGTGCTACCTGAATTAAGATGACAGCAATGCTGGTCCAAGAAGTACAGAAAAGAGCAGGTTTGCTATGCAACTGGTTTATATTTTAATCAGCTTCTTAGATCTACTAGGTGCAAAATTTAAATTCACCCTATTTGCCAACAACATGATTCTATATTTAGAAGACCTAACAATGCCACCGGAAAACTTCTAGAACTCATAAATAAATTCAGGAAAGTAGGAGGATATAAATTAATACCCATAAGTCAATTGTGTTCCTGTACACCAATGATGAATCAACTGAAAGAGAAATTTGGAAAACTATCCCAGTCACAATAGTCTCAAAACTAAAGTACTTGGGACCCAATCTAACAAAAGAGGTGAAAGACATCCTCAATATGAACTACTATAGAAAGAAATTGAAGACCTTAGAAGATGGAAAGATCTCCCAAGGTTCTTGGATAGGCAGAATTAATATTGCCAAAATGGCCATATTACCAAAAATGCTATACAGATTTAATGCAATTCCAATGACATTCTTCATAGGTTTAGAAAAAGCAGCTGTGAAATTCATTTGGAAAAATAAGAGGCCAAAGCAATCCCTAACAAGAAGAGTGAAGCAGGGGGCATCACAATACCAGACCATAAGTTATACTACAGAGTTATAGTAACAAAAACAACATGGTATTGGCACCAAAAAGACAGAATAGAATCCTCAGAGACAAACCCACATAGAGTTATCTCATACTAGACAAAGGTGCCATAAACATAAACTGGAGGAAAGATAGCCTCTTCAACAAGTGGTACTGGGAAAACTGGAAATCCATATGTAGTCGAATGAAATTGAACCCCTATCTCTCACCCTGCACAAAACTCAAAGTGAATCAAGAAACTAAGCATTTAGACCAGAGACCCTGTGCCTACTAGAAGAAATGTAGGCCCAACTGTCCATCATGTCATTTTAGGAACCGACTTCCTCCAGAAGACTTCTAAAGCACAAGAAGTAAAATCAAGAATAGATGGGATGGTATCAAACTAAGAAGTTCTTCACAGCAAAGGAAACCATCAAGAACATGAACAGAGAGCCAATAGAATGGGAGAAAATCTTTGCACCTTATACCTCAGAGCATTAATCTCCAAGATGTACAAAGAACTAAAAAAATCCTAACACCAAAAACCTCAGATAACCCAATCAATAAATGGGCAAAGGAACTGAACAGATACTTCACAGAAGAAGTAATATGAATGGTTAAAAAAAAATCTGAAAAATTGTTCAACATCACCAGCAATTAGAGAAATAAACTGAGATTTCATCTCACTCCAGTCAGAATAGTAATTATAAAGAATACAAGTAAAAATAAATGTTGGCGAGGTTGCAGGGGAAAAGGTACACTCATAGATTGTTGGTGGGACTGCATATTGGTACAACTACTCTGGAAAGCAGTATGGAGTTTCCTCAGAAAACTTGGAATGGAACCACCATTTGATCCAGTTATTACCACTCTTCAGTATATATCCAAAGGACTTAAAATCAGCATACTACAGTGATGTAGCCACATAAATGTTTATAGCAGCTCAGTTCACAATAACTAAGCTATGTAACCAACCAAGATGCCCTTAAACAGAGGAATGGATAAAGAAAATGTGGTATATATACACAATGGCATATTACTCAGCCATAAAGAAGAATGAAATTATGGCATTTGCCAGTAAATGGATGGAAATGGAGCCCGACATATGCTAAGTTTAATAAGCCAATCCCCAAAAACCAAAGGTTGAAGGTTCTCTTTGATATGCAGATGCTAATACACAATAAAGGGGGAGAAAGGAAGAATATAAGTTCATTGAATTAGACAAAAGGGAATGAAGGGAAGGGAGTAGAGATGGGAATTGGAAATACAGTAGAATGAAGCAGACATAACTTTCCTGTGTTCATATAGGAATACATGACCAGTATAATTCTACAACATGTTCAACCACAAGAATGGGATCCTAATTAGAATAAATTAAACACTGTGTATGTATAATATGACAAAATACATTCTACTGTCCAGTGTATCTAAAAAAGAGCATTTAAAAAATTTATCACAAAAATAAATTTACATGTAGGAGATAACACTACTTTTTCTTTTGGTGCTGGGGATTAAACCGAGGGCCTTGCACATGCTTTACCACTGAGCCACACTCCTAATCCCACAACTACTATTTAAAAAACAGTTTTTTAAATTAAGCAAGTTGTTTATGGTTGAATGCCATTCAAATATTCTTGTTCTAGATCAGTTTGATAAGTCCTGGCTGTAGAAGGATCAGTTTGTATTTTGCAGTACTGGCGATTGAACCCAGGGCTTCACTCATGGTAGGCAAATTCTTTCCCACTAAGCTACATTCCTAGCCCTTTTTTAAATTTTGTTTTGAGACAGAGTATTGCTAAGTTTCCCAGGCTGGCCTTGAACTTGCAGTTCTCCTGCCTCAGCTTCCTGAGATTACAGGTGTGTGCCACTGTGCTCATTTTAGGTGGATCAGTTTTAAAGTCAAGAATCACTCTAGTCAGTGCAGTCAATAAATATGTATGATCCATATGAAAACTTGAAGAGGATTCACAGTGGCTTAACTGTTTTCCTGCTTATTATCAACTCGAATATATCTATGAATCTTAACACCTATTCTTTCTCATGTTTCTATAGTTTTTCCTTCCCTAATCTATGGATTGGGATTTGACATTAAACTTCATTTTCCTTTAACTTATCAGTTGTCCATTTTTCTCAGTGTTAAAAAAAAATATTTCACACATTCTTGCTGATTCTGCAGTTTTGTACCAAATGTAGACCTAGTAAGTTTATTTTTGTATCATCAGGTAAAGTTAAGGCAGTCTCTCAGCACTTACTCCTGTAAACCCTCTTATGATCTTCCTACATATATTTTTAAATTTAAAAACCTTCTGATGTACAGCTTTTACAGGTGGACATGGAAGAGGGAAAGGATTGCTTCCTTCTTAGAAATAAACATTGGTTTGAATATTTAAAAATAAACTAAGCTGTGATGATTAGTGTTTTTGGAGTAATGAAAAGTTTCGGAAATAGTGTTAATGATCGTACAATGTTGTAGATGTACTTAATGATACTGAGTTGTACACTTAAGAATGGTTTTTTAAAGTGGCTAATTTTATGTTACATATATTACTACAATTTAGAAAAATTGGTTTACACAACTTAAATGGGTGAAATGTATGGCATGTGACCCATATCTCAGTACAGCTGTTTTTTTTAAAAAAGAAAAGTATTGCTGTACTTGGTGGCTCATAACCTATAATTCCAGTAACTTGGGAGGTTGAGAGGCAGGAGGATCACAGGTTCATAGACAGCTTCAGCAACTTACCTGAGACTGTCTCAAAATAAAAGGGCTGGGCATAACCTCAGTTCAATCCCTAGTATGCCAGGGAGGGGGGACAATTCTAAGCTTAGTTGAATCTATACCGTGTATGTCCACCTTGCTGAAGAGCATAATATTGAGATTCAGTAATTCTGTTTATGTAGAAAAATACTAAGGTGAAAATTCATACACAACTGGAAAATGCTGTCAGATGTGATACTACCATCATGTTCCCCTTATCAAGTAATGGCTTTGCAGTGAAAGCACACTGTGCACAGATGTTAGAATTTCAGTATGGGCTGGGGATGTGGCTCAAGCAGTAACTCGCTTGCCTGGCATATGCTGGGCGCTGGGTTTGATCCTCAGCACCACATACAAATAAAATAAAGATGATGTGTCTACTGAAAACTAAAAAAAAGAAATACTAAAAAATTCTATTTTTCTATACTTTTTTTAAAGAGAAATTTCTTAACTTTCCTATGTATCATGGAGTCTTTGTAGTAGAAGACAAAGCCTAGTTTTAGTGGAAAGTGGAATAGAGAAGACAGCACAGTGAGAAAAATACAGAAACATTTCTTCATAAAATTTTGCTTTCAGTAGTGTTGACCTGAATTCTTTATTAGTTGACCGTAGGTACACTATGACTTCTGTAAGTTTTATTTGCTTTTTAAGTTTTTAATTATTTGAAATACTGTAGTTATTTTGAACACAAGAGCTTCGATGGAAGTGGATTTGTCTCATGTTAAATGGTTTGTTTGATTTGTTTTGACCCTAGGCATGACATCTCCAACTTCATTATATGATAGGTACAGCTCCCCAACAGCCAGTACTACTAGAAGGCGGCTGTTTGCTGAGAATGATAGCCCCTCTGATGGAGGGACACCTGGGCGCATTCCCTCACAGCCCCTAGTCAATGCTGTACCGGTACAGAATGTATCTGGGGAGGCTGTTTCTGTCACACCAGTTCCTGGACAGACTTTAGTCACCATGGCAACTGCCACTGTCACGGCCAACAATGGACAGACAGTGACCATTCCTGTACAAGGTAAGGAAGAGTTGGATATTGAGTTCTCTGGCATTTATTGGAAAGTTACTTGAGGTTTGGCTAGAGGAGTGATGGGGAGAGGAACTTTAGGAGGAAACAAAAAAAGGAAACCTCTGCCAAGAGAACCTCGTATTTTCAACATTTTCTTCATGTCTTTTTTTCTCATGTTGTAACAAACTGGTGTAGGTATTGCCAATGAAAATGGAGGGATAACATTCTTCCCAGTCCAAGTCAATGTTGGGGGACAGGCACAGGCTGTGACTGGCTCCATTCAGCCCCTCAGTGCTCAGGCCCTCACTGGAAGTCTGAGCTCTCAACAGGTGACAGGAACAACTTTGCAAGTCCCTGGTCAAGTGGCCATCCAACAGATTTCCCCTGGTGGACAACAGCAGAAACAAGGCCAGCCTTTAACGAGCAGCAATGTTAGACCTAGGAAGACCAGCTCATTATCGCTTTTCTTTAGAAAGGTAATTTTTTATGTACCCTAAACCAGAACATGAGCTGGGGATATATAAGTGTTAAACAAAATTTTAAATATTTTTATTTATTTATTAGGTATACCACTTAGCAGGTGTCCGCCTTCGGGATCTTTGTGCTAAACTAGATATTTCAGATGAACTGAGGAAAAAAATTTGGACCTGCTTTGAATTCTCCATAATTCAGTGTACAGAACTTATGATGGACAGACATCTGGACCAGTTATTAATGTGTGCCATTTATGTGATGGCAAAGGTGAGTGCCATTCAAGGCTAAAAAGGCAAGGGCAAAGATGTTATGTCATTTCTCCAAACATTTACTTAGCAGCTTACTTGACATATAACCTGTCCATTTAAAATGTACAGTTTAATGGCTCTTATTCACAGATATATGTAATCTTCACAATTTTAGAGTATTCAGTTGTATAGATATGTGGCATTATTTTTTTTTTCATCAAATGAAGGTCATTTGGGTTGTTTCTATTCTTTGGCTATTATGAATAACACTGCTATTAGCATTTGTGTATATCTTTTTGTGGGGATGCATGCTTTGTTTTTGTTTTTTGGGTTATATACCTAGGAATGGATCAATGGATTATATGGTAAATCTGTTTAATCATTTGGGGGAAAGTCCAGACTGGTTTTTTTTAAAATACTTTTTTAGTTGTCAATGGACCTTTATTTTTTTTTTATTTACTTACATGTGGTGCTGAAGATCAAACCCAGTGCCTGACACATTCCAGACAAGTGCACTACCACTGAGCCACAGTCTCAGCGGCCAGACTGTTTTCTAATGTACCGTACCATTTTACCACCAGCAGTCTGAGGAGCCTTAATTTCTTAATTGCTGGGGATTGAACCCAGGGCCTTGTGCATATGAGGCAAGCACTTTACCAACTGAGCTATATCCCCAGCCCCATAATATAACAATACTTTTTTTTTTTCCCCATCCTTTCCAGGGATGGAAGTCAGGGGCACTCGACCACTGATCTACATCTCCAGCACTGTTTTTTGTATTTTATTTAGAGGTAGGATCTCACTGAGTTACTTAGGACTTCATGCCCAGCCAATAATACTTTATTTAAATTAATGTTTTTAGTTGTAGATTGTCATATTTATTTTATTTATTTATTTTTATATGATGGCAAGGATTGAATCTGGTGCCTCACACATATTAGGCAAGTATTCTACCACTGAGCTATAAGCCCAGCCCCACAATACCTTTTATATTTGTTTTTAAAAAATATTTTTAATTTATTGAGTTGAAATTCACATTACATACACTTAACCATTTTAACTTAAACAGTTTAGTGGCTTTTAGTATTTACTATTCAGTGGCTTTTTGATATTTCATATCAATGGAATGGTATAACAATGGAGTTGTGGCTTAGTGGTAGAGTACTTGCCTCGTAAGTGTGAGTTTCAATCCTAGCACCACATAAAACCAAATAAAGGCACTGAACTTAAAAAAAAAAAAAAAACCCAAAACGTTGACCTTTTGTGTATTGCTTCTTTCATTTGGGATAATGTTTCCAAAGTATATCCTTGTATCAGTACTCCATTCCTTGTTATAGCTGAAATAGCGTCCATTGTGTGGATACATTAGAATTTATCCATTCATTTATAGAGGTACATTTGGGCTCTTTCCAACCCTTGGCTATTATAATTAGTGCTATTGTGAATATTTGTGTACTTGTTTGAGTGCCTATTTTCAATTTTTATTTAAATTTTTTTTATCTTGGGATAATGTCTAAGTTACAGAGGCTGGCTTTGAACTTGGAATCCTCGTGTCTCAGTCTGGAGTTGCTGGGATTACAGGTGTGTGCCACCACACTTGGCTGTTTTCAGTTTTTTAAGAGTTTATACCTAGAAGTGGAATTTCAGGGTCATATGGTAATTCTGTTTAACATTTTGAGGAATCATCATTTTACACTGCTCCTAGTAATGCAAGAGAGTTCTAGTTTCTCTATATCCTTGCCACCTTATTTTACATAGATATAATCTTTAGTTTGGGGTATTGAGTGTTATCTCATTGTGGTTTTGAATTGTATTTGTTTAATGATGTTGACCGTCTTTCATTGTGCCCTGTTGGCCTTTATATGAATTTTGATTCCAGCCTTTCCAGTAGGTATGAAGGACTTTTTATGGTTTTGAATTCCTGACTGATGATGATAAACAGCTTGTAATTTGCTCATTGGCAATTTGTGTATCTTGTTTGGAGAAGTACCTATTTAAATCCTTTGCTCATATAAAAAATTGGATTATTTATTTTTTGAGTTGTTGGAGTTCTTTATATACAACTACCTTGTCATACATATGATTTGAAAATATTTTCTCCTGTTCTGTGTTATTTTTTCTTTTGGGTGGTTGATGATTGAACCCGGTGCCTCAAATATGCTTGGCAAGGGCTCTGCTACTAAGCTTCCCTTCCAGTCCAGTGTGTTATCTTTTCACTTACTTGATAGTGTCATTTGAACCTTTTACAAAAGTTTTTAATTTTGATGAATTCCAGATACCTATTTTTTGTTTGTTTTCATATCTAAGACTCCACTGCCAAATCTTTTTTTTTTTTTTTAATTTTTATTTTTTTTTATTGGTTGTTCAAAACATTACAAAGCTATTGACATATCATGTTTCATACATTAGATTCAAGTTGGTTATGAACTCCCATTTTTACCCCAAATACAGATTGCAGAATCACATCTGTTACATATCCACATTTTTACATAATGCCCTATTAGTAACTGTTGTATTCTGCTCCCTTTCCTATCCTCTACTATCCCCCCTCCCCTCCCCTCCCATCTTGTCTCTCTACCCCATCTACTGTATTTCACTTCTCTCCTTGTTTATTTACCCATTCCCCTCGAAACCTCTTATGAGTGCTTTAGTATAACAATGAGCGTCTCCCTCCATTACCATGCAATTTCTCTTTTCTCTCCCTTTCCCTCCCACCTATTGTATCTGTTTAATGTTGATCTTTCCTTCCTGCTCTTCCTCCCTGCTCTGATCCTGGTTATTCTCATTATATCAAAGAAGACATTTGGTATTTGTTTTTTAGGGATTGGCTAGCTTCACTAAGCATAATCTGCTCTAGTGCCATCCATTTCCCTGCAAAATCCATGATTTTGTCATTTTTTAGTGCTTCCACTGCCAAATCTTGAGAACCAATGTCATTTTACTTCTATGCTTTCTTCTGAGTCTTTTATTTTTATCTCTTAGGTTTTTGATCCATTTTGAGTAATTTTTGTATATGCTATGAAATAAAAGTCCAGCTTCATTCTTTTGTGGCTTTCCAGCTACTCCAACCCCATTATTAAAATGACTATTTTTCCCCATTGAATAATCTTGGCACCTTTGTGGTTGATCAGACACAGACATTTAGGCTTATTTCTGCCCAATTAGTTCTATTATCTGTCCTTATGTAGTACCATACTCTTTTGATGACTGTTGCTTTTTTATAAGTTTTACTGGGAAATGCAAGTCCTCCTACTTTTATTTTCAATTATTTTGGTTGTGTTAGTCTCTTGAAATTCCATGTGAATTTTAGAATAAAGTTGTCAATTTAACAGTCATCTGAGATTTTGATCAGTTACACCGAATCTGTATTTTGGTTTAGGGAGTTTTGCCATCTTAAGTCATTTGATCCTTGAACATGGCATGCTTTTAACATTTATTTAGATCTTTTTTAAATGGTCTTTCAACAATGTATTACACTTTGAAAAGTATGACTTTTGCTCCATTCATTCTTATATATCCTTTTTGATGCTATTGTAAATGTAACTTTCATTTTTGGTATGTTCTCTGCAAGTGTGTAGAAATAACTAATTTTTGTATATTGGTCTAATATCTAGGAACCTAGCTGAACTTATTAGTTCTAATAGATTTTAATTGATTCCTTAGACTTTTTCATGTATAATTTGATTTCTTGTCCAAATTAGATACTATTTCCTGTTTCCCAGCTACCCTTCCCAACTATCTTGGCTAAAACCTACAATGTTAAATACAAAAGCTGAAAGCAGAAATCTTGTCTTTAGTTAAAAAAATTTTAGATACTCGACTATGAAGTCTGACTTTCATTATTTTCTTGGATGCCTTTTATCAGATTGAGGAAGCTCCCTTTATGTTCCTAGTTGTTGTTTTATGATAAAACAAGTTAGATTTTTTTTTTTCTGATTTTACTGTGCTTATTCTAATCCACTGATTTTCTTATGTTAGACTAGCCTTGCATCCCAATGTTAAGTCCTTTTTGGTCTCGTTGATAATTTTTTTGTTGCTAGGTTTAGTTTACTAGTAGTTTGAATTTTGTCCTTATTGCTAAGGATAGTATCTTCAGATGGACTTTGTAAAGATATTTCTAATTATCTTAACATCCTTTTATAATGTAGGCATTAACAGTTATAATATACACTGCATCTCCTAAGTATTTTTGAATTTCCCTTTTGGTATCTAGGAATATATTAATTTCTACATTTTTCCTGAATTTCTTTACTGACTTCTAGTTTAATTTCACTTTGGCTGAAAAAGAAAACATTGTATTATTTCAGTCCTTTTAAATATATCAAGGTTTTATAGCCTTGTATATGGTCCTTCTTGGAGAATTTCTTTTGGAGCAGAATGTCTTTAGACTTTAGCACTATGAAACAACTAGATCTATTTCTTTTTTGAGCTTCTGCCTCAGTCTTCTTTTATCCATATTGAAAGTAAATTTAAATCTCTAAATATTGTTAAAATTTTCTGTTTTCCCCTTCATTTCTGGGTTTTCGTTGTTTTGTGATACTGAGGGCCTTTCATATGCTAGGCAAGCACTCTACCACTGAACTACACCCCTAACCTTGGTTCATGTAAGTTAGTACACTATTAACATGTGTGCTTGTGTTTACTACTTCCTAGTATAACCTCCTGATGGATTGATCTTATTATGAAATATCCCTCTTTAACAGCTTTTGTTTTATAGTGTGATACTTGTGTAGTTGTAGTCTGCTAAATCTGTCTTTTCAGTTTACTTCAAATATATGTGTTTGTGGCAGAATCACTTTAGCACTGAGCTATCCTCCAGCCTTTTTTTTTGAGGATCTTGCTGAGGCTGGCTTGAACTTGAGATCCTGCTTCAGCCTCCCAGAGATTGCTGGGATTTCAGGCATGTGCCACTGCACTCAGCTTGTATTATTTGAGGGACGGGGGTACTGGGGATTGAACTATAGCACTCATCCACTGATTCACATCCCCAGCCGTATTTTTTAGGGACAGGGTCTGAGTTGCTTAGTGCCTCACTGTTGCTGCTTTGAACTTGTGATCCTCCTGCCTCAGCCTCCCAAGTACTGGGATTCCACCATGCCTAGCTTGTGTTTTTGAATCTAACACATCTCCTATCAACAGAATAGAGTTGGATCTCATTTCTAGTCTGACAATCTCCACCTTTTGACTATTCAGTTCATTCACTTTAATGTTGATATAATTGGTTTTTCATTCCTTTATTCTTTTGCATTTATTTTTTAATGTTCAATTTTAATAATGAATTTTTACACCATATTTTGTTTCCTTAGTGGTTGCACTGTTTACATATTACAAATCGAACAGCTACTTGGCATTGATATACTTGTATGACTTTTAAAAAGTAATTTATAGTTTGCTATAATCTTATTTTCATTTCCCATTGGTTTTCATGAATTCTTACATCTGGAATCATTTATCCAATACAGCTTTGCTCCTATGTACCTCCTTTCTTTGTAACAGCTCCAACAATACATCATATTTTATATAATTGTTTTTAATCAAGAGAAAAATGCCTTTTTAGTCTCTTTATAATTACATAGTCTTTGTGAAAAAGGTCAAGAACACTGGCATATATTTGGATTACTGTCCAGACGCACTTATTTTTAGCTTCAAGAACTTTCTGTAATATTAAGCTGGTAAGGAGTAGCTGCTAGCATTCTGGTTTTGAGGATATATTTCATTTATGGAAGATAATTTTAAATGTTATCTCATTATCTCTTGACATGTATACTGTTATTTTATCGGGGTTTCCCTGTAAATGAAAAAAATTGCTTTTCTCACTAATATTCTCTATTTGGCTTTTGCATTTTTACTATGATATATTGACGCATGGATCTGAGTATCCTTGGAGTTTCTTGAGCTTCATAGATATGTACATTAATGTTTTAAAATCAATTAGGAAGATTTCACTCTACTTCTCTGAACACTTGCTTCTCTATTCTCTCTTCCTTGGTACTCCCATTACACATAGTCTCAGAGAAATGTACACACCATGCTATCTGTTCTTTAGATCATACGATCTCTTTATTCAATTTTGCTAATTCTTTTCTGGTTCAAATTTAGTAGAGTTAGTTTTTAATTTTAGTTATTGTACTTTTCTACACCAGATTTTGGTTCACATGCTAGAATCCTCATATTGAATTTTAGATTTTCTTGAATAGATGTTTTTTCATTTGCTATATACCCTTAGGACCATTTCCAGAGACTTTAAATCACTGTTTTTAAATACAATTTTTACTACTTGCTATAGAAAGCAGATTCACTGAGTTCCTCACACTGTCATGGTGGAAGTTGATCCCAGTACTCTCATTCTTTGCCAGGTCACAAAAGAAGACAAGTCCTTCCAGAATATCATGCGTTGTTACAGGACTCAGCCACAGGCCAGAAGTCAGGTAACTATAGGCTGAAAATTAAGCTTAAAGTCTGCGACGAATACAAAGATTAACTACTTTAATCTTTCTTTAGTCACTAACAAAGAACTTCACATGTTGGTAAAGTCCTCTTTTCTTTCAAAGTCAACATTATGGAATATTTCTTAATTTCTATCTAGTGGTTCTGTGAATAAAGTTATCCAAGTAAACACTATTGTACATTTAACCAAGATGGTATTAAAATTTTAAACCCCTTTTTCTTTTAACACTATTTCTCAAAGGCAAGAATGCTGGATCTTTGTAGATGAATTGAATTTTATGGTTGGGGGTCATTATGCTCTGTAGTATTTTAGGAAGTACATGGAATCTGAAGCTAGACAGGCTCTGATTAAATCCTGGATTTGTTATTTAATAGCTGTGTGCCTGACCATGGCTGCATTTCTTAATATCCCCTGAGAAAGATGACTCCTACTCACTGTTAAGTAACATGTCAAGGTTCTATTATTTAGGATGCATTTAATAAAAGTTTCTGTGACATTCTGTCTCTTTAAAGGTGTATAGAAGTGTTTTGATAAAAGGGAAAAGAAAAAGAAGAAATTCTGGCAGCAGTGAAAGTAGAAGCCATCAGAATTCTCCTACAGAACTAAACAAAGATAGAAGTAAGTAGATCTTTATGACCTCAAACAAAAGTAGGCTCTTATTTTTTTAGGCCTAGGAGACTAAGAATTACTACGGAAAGTGCTTTCTTGACAAAGAATCTGCTAAAAAAATAAATTCTAAATTTAGTGACAGAGTTCTTCATTTCATTATTCTGAGACAAAGTGCATACCATTTTTCTCCAGGGGAATTAGAAAAGGCTTCAGACAGGAATCTGCTGGCATCTTATTTGGAGCTATGCTATGGAAATGCCATCCCTAGTTATTGATTTGCACCACTTCGTGCAGGATTCAGATCCTAGGAAACTAACGACCGGTATACCTATGCTCCAGTTATGGCATTGGAGTAAAGTTATTTTCTGAGATTTGCTTCTTAGTGGGAAGGAAGTTTGTTTTTCATACTAAGTACCAGTTTCATACTCAGAACTGGTACCAAGTAGTGTAGGTAGCTGTTCAGCTTTTTTACTTTTTTTTAAAACCATCAGTACTAGCAAACTTTGTGTTTAACACTCTTTGTAGCCAGTAGAGACTCCAGTCCTGTCATGAGGTCAAGCAGCACCTTGCCAGTTCCACAGCCTAGCAGTGCCCCTCCTACACCAACTCGTCTCACAGGTGCCAACAGTGACATGGAAGAGGAGGAGAGGGGAGACCTCATTCAGTTCTACAACAACATCTACATAAAACAAATTAAGACATTTGCCATGAAGTACTCACAGGCAAACATAGTAAGTTTCACAACAGTATTTGTTTTTTCACTCCAGAGGAATGAATATCATTTATATTTGACCTGCTTGTGTACAAACTAGATTTATAAGCAACTATCAAGTAAAACTAAGGAAGTCTTAATAAGATTATATTGATTCCCTGCAAAATACGAGATAGTTACATGGATTCAAATTATCCAATATTTAATGGTGGTAGTGATCTTACCACTTATTTACTTCTATTCCCATTTTATGAGAAAATGAGGCATAAAGAAGTTTCCAGCTTATAAGGCTGTTGCAAGGATGAGATGACAATAGATTTAAAAATGCTTAAAGTAGAGATGGGCATAAACTAAGCACTTAAGTTTGCTGCTCATCTGACCTTCTTTAGGGTCTGATTGTTGCTAAAACATCACCTTTTACCATTTATAAAACTACTTGCTTATTACCTCTTAAAAACTTTCTAATCAGGTATTTTAAGTAAATGAGTTTCTTACAATTACTGATTTTGATTGTTTTTAACAGATGGATGCACCTCCACTCTCTCCCTATCCATTTGTCAGAACAGGCTCCCCTCGCCGAATTCAGTTGTCTCAAAATCATCCTGTCTACATTTCCCCACATAAAAATGAATCGATGCTTTCACCCCGAGAAAAGATTTTTTACTACTTCAGCAACAGTCCGTCAAAGGTGAGATTGACATGTCCTTTACAAACCCTAAAATGCTTTTAGGATGCTCCAAATAGGGTTTGGGCTTATCCTAGGCACTCACTGAAGTGATGAGAACTGCCAGGGAACAGTGGCCAGTAAGTCTATGCAGCAAAAACCAGAGTGTTTGATTTTTTTAAAAAATGTTTTAGTTGTATATGGACTCAGTGTCTTTATTTGGTGCTAAGATTAAACCTAGTGCCTTGCAACTCCAGCCCATGGTTGTTGAGAGCTTTGTGGTTGGAAACAGGTAAAGGACTCAGATTTATATTTATCTATCCCCCGCATCACCACTTCTATTTGTGTATTGCTGTAAATGTGGAGATCGTAAAGTTTATAGGCTTGGAATCTTAAAAGTATCCCATTCCTTAGAAAAAATGTGTAACTTATATCTTCATTTATACTAAATTAATTTTCAATATCAGTGCTTCTGAATAAGACTCCTGTATTAAAAAGGTAAAGTTTTCAATTATATTCCAAGCTGGATTGTTAATGGAACTCAGAACTGGTAATTATAACCTCTTAAAAAATGGAGTGAGGGGGAAATGACTGTTTGGAGTTTATTTGGTTAAAAGAAAAAAGGAATCACTAGAATGTGGTACACATTGCTGCTTCTAAATAACCTTTAAAATAAAAGGAGTGAACTACTCATACATACTTCAACGTGGATGGACCTGGAAAAATTTGCATGTTATATGATTCCATTTATCTGCAAGTATATTGGCAGAAATAGATTACTGTTTGCCTAGAAGGGAAAATTTTCCAATTATCAATCTAGGAAACATACCAAAACCATGAAGTTGTTACACTTTATGTGGATGAACTATAACTTAAACATCCTTATTGAGAAAGAATGGAAAAAGCTATACCATGTTACCCCTAATTAAAGGAAAGGTACAGTATCTATATTAATAAGCAATTAAGTTGATTTCAGGATGTATCAGTGATATTTTCTTAGATTATACAATCTTCAATAGAAAAATTTCAGTCTGGTGGCTGAGGACTGCAAGTTCAAAGCCAGTGTGGGCAATTTAGCAAGACACAAATAAAATGAAAGGACAGGGATGTAGCTAAATGGTAGAGTACCTGTGTTCAATTCCCAGTACCATGAGAAAGACAAATATTCAACATAATTGATAATATCATAAGGATATAAACATAAGGCTGATGAGCTGACATCTACAGAACATTCCCATAGCATCAACTATACATGAAACATTTAAAAACAACCACATTCTGGACAAATCAACTTTTTTTTGGTAGTTCTGGGGATTGATCCTAGGGACTCACACATGCTACATCCTCAGGCCTAACAAATTTTAATAAAATTTGTTTCTTGTTTTTGGAACTGAGTATTGAACCCAGGGGCACTTTAACCATTGGGGCACATCTCCAGCTCCTTTTATGTTTGAAATAGAGCCTTGCTGTGATCTGAGGCGGACTGTGTGTGTGGGATCCTTCTGCGTCACTGTGCCTGGCTCTCAATACATTTTAATGTATTTTTCAATTTCTCTGGCATCAAACCCGATATCACGAAAATCCAGTTTTTGAAAACTAAATCAGATTTCTGTGGGTCAAAGCAACTAGGAAATAGACTATATTGAAAATGAGAACCCAAAATAAGCACCATGTTAGCTGTGTCTCACAAATTAAAAATATCTATTAGATCACTAATTTTAACCCCTTCATCTTTTTTAAGTTTAAACTGGAAATCAGGAATCATTGAAATAGAAAACAGATCCCACCCAGAGAAATCAAGGCACTTTTAAAGGCTAGTTTTGAAGAAAAGAATTTCAAAAACTGATCGGTGTAGATTCATCAGGAAAAGTGATGCATTACCAGTAATTACCAGTATACACTAAGGTATAATGAGGATTAAGAAACAATCTTTTTTTTTTGACAATGCAGATGAAATGGACCTAAACTAATAAAACTCACTCAAGAAGTAGCAGCCTCAAAACTGTAGGCCCAGACAGCTTTTACTGGTCTATTCTACCAAACATGTAAGAAATAATGCCAGTTCTATACAAATGAAGGAAAACAAATGACAAAATTCAACATTCATTCAAGGGCAAACTGTGGGAACATCCTGAGAGAGGGTGATAATTAACACAAGCCAACATATCTATAGACAATAACATCCTTAGTGGTGAAAGACTGAATACCTTTCCCCAAGATCAGGAATCGGGCAAGGACGTCCACTCTCACTTCTACTCAGCATTGTAACTGGGGTCACACCATGTGTAATCAGGCAACATAAAGTAGGCACACAGATTATGTACAGAAAAACCACCAAGAATTGAAGCAGTTTCTGAAATTAAAAGATTTAGGTGGTTATAAAACTCCATATGGAAAAATAAAAGATATTTTTATACACTACTAATGAAGAATCAGAAGTAAAAAAAAATTAAATGCCAAAAATAACATTTAAAAATTAAGTATGAGACATAAAACTACACACCTTTTTTGAAAGAAAGCCTGACAAACTAGAGAAATGTTCATGATCTGGAAAACAGAATATCAGTTTTCACCCAGTTGATCTACAAATTAAACCCCATTTCACCCCAAATCCTAGCACAATTACTTGTATAAACTGATGCTAAAATGTATATAGAAGGGCAAGCGAAATACAATAACTAAAAACAATTTTGAAAAAGTTGGAGGAGTCGCACTATCTAGTTTCAAGACTCACACTAAAGCTATAGTAATTGAAACAAGTGTAGTGCTTCTCAAAGTATAGACAGATCACTGGAACATGCAGTCAGCCAATTTTCAACAAAGGTGATAAAAACCTGGATATCTATATACTATGAGAGTAAACTTAATCCTGTACCCTGCACCACAAAAATTCAAACCAAAAAGGACATCTAGAAAAACAGAATCTTGACTGACACGTGTTGTGGAATGATTTCTCAGATACAATTATAGTTAATTTTGATAAAATACATCAAAGCACAATCCATTAAGAACTTCTCCTTAAAAGTCACTTAAGAGAATGAAGAAATCATGGAAATTAGAAGGTATTTACAAATCCCAAATCTGATAAGGACACATTTACAATATATAAAGAATTCTCAAACTCGAATGGAAAGATAAACCACCTAAGGTAAAAAGTTGGCCAAACATTTGAACACACCCTCCCATTACATGCCTACTGGAATGACTATACAATGACGGGAACAAGTCCTGGCAATGAGGTGGAGCAGCTGGAACTTTTCTGTGCTGCTGGTGAAAATGCAAAATGGTATAGTCTTCTGGAATTCAGCGTGGCAGTTTTCTTCTAATGTTGAATATACCCTTACCACACAACCAGTAATCTTATTCCTAGGTACTTAAGTGAAAGCTTATGTTTATACATGAACATGAATGTTTATGGTGACTTTACTCCTAACCCAAAAGTATAAAACAATGGAAATGTCCTTCAACTGGTTAATGGGTAGACCTGCAGTGCAGCAGAAAATGAACTACTTTACAATAAAGAAAGAAGTGATACACTCAACATGTATGAATCTCAAATGCATTAATGCCTAAGTGTAAGATATGTACCAGGCTACTTATTATGATTCCATTTCTGTGACATTCTAGAAAACACAAAACTATAGGACAGGAAACATCAGTGGTTGCTTAGAAGTAGGTGGACCACAGGGAGATATGAAATGTTTTAGGTTTCTGTTATGGTATTCATACAACTAGGTATTTGTTTAAATATGCAGATATACTAAAAGGCATTGTACTGCATGTAAACCCAAGGTGGGGAACTAGTATTTTATGTGAAAAGGAATTAAGCATCCAGATTATTTCAATCCTGCATCTGTAATATCACCAAAAGAAATTCTAACCCAGAATTGGGAGTTTCTTCAATAAATGATAGCAACTATTAAGCCATTAGGTGGAGAAACAGTCATCATGATGACTTAATAGGTGATGACGGAGAACATTTCAAAGCAAGTAGTAATTTGGGTCTGTAGCCAATTTGTAGTAAGCTAACATACTACCAGGAGAAAAGAATCAAGTATCACACAAGGTCAATTAAGATGAAGTTATTAGTAATTTTAAGGGCTATTTCAGTGGATTACTACAGTTAATTGAATAAGTCAAAGAATTATATACTTAGTAGTATAATTGTTTAACAGCATTAAGCAATTCTGATGATTAAGTAGTATATAATACTACTTAATCAATAGAGGATTAATCTATGATAGCGACATACTACAAAATACTATAAAGCTGTTAGTTGAGATGGACCATATATACTGATATGGGAAAAAATCTAAAGTGGTGTTGAATGTGCAAATATTCTGAATAGTATATAAGTATACTATTTTAAAACCCCATTACCCCAGTACAATATTACATTTCTAGGAATGAGTGCATTCTTAGAAAACAGAAGGATATAAAGCATGCCAATTTGTTTAGACACAAATAGATGTGCATCTAAGTGATTGTGACATGGCAATAACTATTGTTAAAAAAAAAAAAAAATAGTATGCATCCATGGGGCTTGGGTAAGGATAGAGAGTCTAGGTGTAGTCTGTATGTGTTTCCTTTGGAATAAGAATTTAAAATGTTTTGTATTGTTTAAGTGAATTATGTACAAAATATTGAGTATTAATTTATATACAATTAACATCACAATATACTATATTAATGTGCTCCATATATCTACATATTTTATAGTAACCTTTACACAACCTGGCATATAATTAGCATTATATGGTTAATATATTCAGTAAATTTAAGGAATATCTAGGTAAGTGGGACACTACAGAGAAAGCAAATGCAGACCAGAGTTATTTTAGGGAGGCCAAAGAAGATGGAATAGAAAGGGTCAAAAGAAATTTCTTCAGATGCTAAGATTTGTGAAAGTGCATATGCTGGTAAGATTTTAAATAAAATCACAAGTGTTCTTTAAGTCGATAATTGCAAAGTAAAGAATGAAGTGATAACTGAATTTGTGTAGGGGATGAGAAGTGAATGGGGTGTAGATCAAATAAGACCAGCCAGAGTTTCTTAAGTGGGGTAAGGAGCATGTGGGGATTCATCATGTTGGTTTCTCTACTTTGTTTGAAATTTCTTAAATTAAACGTACACGAATAAGCTCAGTACGATTTTTGTGAAGAAACATGGATAATGAAGCAGCACATGAAATAATTTTTTTTTTTTTTTTTAAAACCAAGGAACTACCAGAAAATAGTATTAAGAAAAGGCTTGTAGGACTCTGGAGAAAATGCTAAAGGCACTTAAGAGTCTCTCTAGCACTTCAGCACTGCCTTGCTCCTCTGGGCTTCCTCGTCTGAGCCACAGAGCACAAAGGAATTTGAGTAACTTCTCAGTTCTTCCAAGGATAACCTACCTAGCACCAAACTCGGCTTACTAATTCATTAAAATGAATTAGCCTTAGGGAATTCAGGCTTACTTCTCTAGTGAAATCCTGGTTGAGAAGTCCTGCTTAAAAAAAAATGTACTTCATGTTTGTAGAAATGTGTCAAAATAAATAGTAACACTAGCCTGAAAAAAAAAGGGGGGGCATGATACTACTATAAGACCATGCTGTCTTTAAAAAAGGAAAATGTGCGCTAAATGATTGTGAACATGGCAATAGCTGATGTAAAAAATAAAAAATAATAGTAATCACAAATTTGTGAACTTGTACATTGTAGAGAAATGTATATCAAAACCACTGTGAAATTTGTCAAAAACATTCCACCCCTACCAGTCTCAGCACTATGACCCAGTGAAGTTGGCAGAATATATCATTCTCTATAAAGGTATTTTTTCTGTAAAAGTTTAAGTTTTTAGAGGGAAGCTGATTTAATACATTTGAGATTCTTTAATACTGAGTTGTGTGGCACTAGCATTTTCAAGTTTTTATGTTTTCTCCCCCACCATAGAGACTGAGAGAAATTAACAGTATGATACGGACAGGAGAAACTCCAACTAAAAAGAGAGGGATTCTTTTGGAAGATGGAAGTGAATCACCTGCAAAAAGAATCTGCCCAGAAAATCATTCTGCCTTATTACGCCGTCTCCAAGATGTAGCTAATGACCGAGGTTCCCACTGAGGTTAGTCCCTGGTATTGAAACTGTCTTTCACAAACTGTTTTGCAGCATCATTTAATGCATGCTATATTAAGGAGCCCATTTCCTTAATCCAGCTAATTAGAATCTATTAGAAATAGGAAGGGGCATTTTTATGAGAACTAGACTTACTCTTTTCAAATGTGAGAGGTCTCTTAACAGGTTCCAGCAGAGGAATTGTATTTCAAATTCATTCCTACCTGTTTGTGGTCAGCTCTAGTTCTTATGAAAAGCAAAACTTTGTAAAGCAAAACTTAAGTACTTTGTTCTCAAACAGGAGCGTGAAATTTCTACATTTATGAAACAAAGGAGATGGCTCAGATTCCCCAGGTCACTATAGCATAAGTCTCCTGTCCCCTGTGGTGCACTTCTCCCCTTCCCCAGTAGTGTGGTGCAGTGTGAAAAGTGAACATTCAGTTGTGCAATGTCTGAATGAACCTGTATAAGTGGCGGCACTTTAGGGCTGTAAAATGCATGATTTTGTATCCCAGATTTTGCTGTATATTTCTGATGGCACTTTCTACAATGTGAACTTTATTAAGTACAAAACTTCTAGGCTGAATAGCCAGTATTTTCTTTAACACTTTTGTACTTTTTTAAACTGTTCTATGCCCTAGTAGCCACCTTTTGGGCATGCTTTTTAAATTCTCCAGTTGTTATTTAGGGATCAGCTGGCTAAGGAAACATTTTTAAATCAAGTTTAATTGAAAGAATTAATATGAAAAATTATGACCTCTTTCTTTAGGAGGTAGTTATCCAAAAGACATGTAAAAATATGTTTGGGTATGTTCCTGGCAGTCTAAAAAATAGGTTGGAGAATTTAGGTTTTTATTAGTACATAGTACCATTTATACAAATTAGAATATATTATTTAACAGCTATTGAACTATCTATATATACACCTTTATTAATCACTATTGCTCCAGCAGTTTTAAAGTTGAATTAATAATCTTATTAGGGAAAAAATTCAATTGTAAATTGAATCAGTATAAACAAAGTTACTAGGTAACTTCATATTGCTCTAAAAGAAATATGGAACTTACACTGTTCAATTAGAATAGTGTTCTGCAAAAATATTTATAAAAACCTCAAGATACTGCTCCTGTAATTTTATATCAAAATAAGTGTATTTTTCAATAAAGCATTTATAAAGTCATCTTTGTTTAGTTATATTGAGAAAGGGTGTTTAGTTTCCTGTGTAAATGACAAAGAACAATCATTTATTGGTTTATTTTCATATCTACTAAACACATTAGTCAATCATTTAAATATCTGACTTCATTAGAAACCGTTTTAACACTTTTTCTCCCTCCTGCCATAAAAATACAGTTACGTAATTTGTTTAAAAAAAAAAAAAAAAACACTAAGATCAAGTGTTCTGGTTTCCTCTCTAAAACATTCTTCAGAGATATCAGTCTATAAATCAGTAAGACAGCAGGCTGAAGACTGAAACAATCTTTCACTTAAAAGTGCCAAGCTCTAGAATCTGCTCTCTAAACCTGTCCTCTCCATATGCTAACACATGTACAAATGAAACCACTGATTTAAAACTATTAAATAGTTCTGATTTCGGTCTGCTCAGTTTAAATGAATGCAACTTACCTTTAGCATTATATTCAGAAAAATACATAAGTCTCAAGGTCCCCAATAATTTGGAGTACTGAACTAGATAACCACCCTAAGACACTTCTGACAGAAGTAATGCATTACTTAAAGAGAGGTTTCCAAACCTGCTGTTAGAACCTACACATACATAGAAAACACTGATACCCAGTTGTGGTTCACACGGTTTACTCTTCAGGCAGTCCTTTGCCATTAGTCTGCTTTAACTAGGCCAGAGTCCAGCAGGAAAGTGCACGGTGCACCAGATTCACCATCTCTTAAGTTGCTACTGTTTTCTCTTCTTTACTGAAGGGTTGTACTGAGCCAGGCTTTACCCATGACAGGCCAGCAACATGAACACTTTTATTGTGCTGTTCTTCAGGCTTCTTCTAGGCACAATCAAAAACAGACATTAAAAAAAGATGACTGATGAGGAGAGTGCAGCCTGGTACAGACTTGTTTCCCCCAAAGTTATTTGTGTGTAATGAAGGTCTCCAGTGAAGATGTTTTAGAAAAGAAACAGCAAGTTAACCATCTCAAAGATGGTTTCTACTTACTTTCTGAGTTAGCATCTTCTCTCTGGCTTCATCATGTACAGAAGGATTCCATGGAGAAAAGCTTAAGGGGCAGAAAGTATTAAAAACAATCAGTGGCTTTATAAACGTGTATAATCTCCATTTTTCAAAAAGGAAGCCAATTCTAAAAACTTAATTTAAAAAATATTTTATTGTAGATGGACATGATACCTTCAATTTATTTTTAGTTGAAGGACCTTTATTTTACTAATTTATATGCAGTGTTGAGAATCAAACCCAGTGCCTCACACATGCCAGACAAGTGTGCTACCATTGAGCCCCAGCCCTATTTATTTTTATGTGGTGCTGAGGATTGAACCCAGTGCCTCACACGTGCTAGGCAAGCGTGTTCTACCACTGAGCTACAACTCCAGCCCTTAAGGAATATTTTTAAAGAATAATCTTTCCTCAGTTGTTAAAATGTTTTAGATGTTACATATAAATGATCTTCTCATTAACCATTCCTTATACAAGGATTACCTAAGCTTCACATCATCCCTAAAATACTATTATTTAAAGATGAAGAGCTGGATGCGTGCACATGCCTGTAATCCCGGTAGCTCTGGAGGCTGAGGCAGGAGGATCTCAAGTTCAAAGTCAACCTCAGCAACAGTGAGGCGCTAAGCAACTCAGTGAGACCCTGTCTCTAAATAAAATACAAAATAGAGCTAGGGATGTGGCTCAGTGGTTGAATGCCTCGGAATTCAATCCCCAGGTCCAAAAAAAAAAAAAGAAGGTGAAGAAAGCAAGGTACAACAAAATTGAGTAATTGCGCTGGGTCACCAAAGAAAAAACTACCAAAGCCAGTCCATCATCTGCTGAGCCCATGCTCTTAACAACTGTACCACAGTGCCTTTCTGGCAGTGCAAATGTTGCCAAAGAACTCACCAATTCCTTAGTTCTCCAAATTCTTTCAGCTGCTTTTCCCCAAGATCCAACATCACAGTGTTACAAGAACCCACCATGCTCATACCACTCAGTTTCCCTCTTTTTAACCAAACCTGAATGGTGGTAGGAGTATGGCAGTTAAAGAGAACAGCTCAAACTGCCAAATAAAAAGTCTTCACATGGGAATGAATTACCATATCACAAGGGTCCTTAGGAAAAGTAGTCACTACATATTTTGCTATTGGCACAACGTGCAGACAATATGAAGCATTAAGAGGCCGTAAAGCCCTGGAAATTGTTCTGGCACCAAGAATACAAAGGCCATAGGCTAACAGATCATACAAAATTTTTTTTCATTCAAAGGCCACCTGGAAAATGTAAAAGTGCAGTACTAAAAAGAACCATTCATCTAGATATTGTACCACTTACCTAATTGCATAGGGGTCTTCTATTTTAGGTTGGTCAAATAAACGAGCAGTGCACACCTTAACACTGTCAACCACTTTACTTTTAAAAAGCTGAATGTCCTTTTCATACCTGTGTTTAAAGTTTAAATCAAAAAATTATCAACTTAATCTACTTAGCTGGATTTTAAAATTTATCTTAAATAACCAAACAAAAAAGTCACGTACAGGACTGCAGCCTCTGGGTTTAGGGGGCTTGCTGTATCAATCTTGTAGAAAACTCTCCTTGCATACATTAATACTTGCCAAATATGATTATGGTTTCGCCTAAAAGGAAACATGGTATCATTACTAAGGCTTGCTCCTATGATGTTATGTCTCCAGAAGAAATGCTGATTTACTGACCTCCATTTTGCAAATGCTCTTTTCACATCCAGTTCACCCGAGGTGGGATCAACTAGCGGGTGAAAGACAGGAATATCAAACACCAAGCGCTGTGTTTAAAGAGAGACATGTCCTTTAATGGAAGCACCGGAACTTATGAGACAGATCCTTACAGATAGTCACCAAAGGAGCTTCAAGGCAACAGGGCAGTCATGTTGTTTAAAAAGTCACAAAGCTGCTCCAAGAAAGATACTGAGCTACTTTTAACCATTCAGTGGGGAAAAAGGTCACTCCAACTGCAGCATGACAAGTGCTGTCCATGTGTAAGTGCTGCAGTACAACATCCAGCCTCATTTGAACACGCCAAGCAGAGAAAGAATGAAGCTCAAGGCAGAGCACCCCATGACCAAAGACTCAACAAAGCACCAAAACTCCACTGGGAAGACAAATGTTTAGGAAAACTGAAATTGTTAAAGCATTAGGTAAGGAAGAGAACCAAAACAAGAAATCCCTAGGCCCTTTAGTTCCCCCTTGGTGAATGGAGCCCCACAAACAAAGCCACATTGTCTCCTACTTACTGGACAGTCACCATCTGGATAGTTATCAGGGATGTAAACTGTGAACTTGAACACACCATCCTGATAAAGCCCATGCCGTATGAATATTACTCCAAACCACACTGCAGGAAAAAAAAAAAAAAAAGGTTAAGCCCTAACTCTGTGTCAGAGGAACCAAAAATGCTATAAAGTAAGAGTGAATCTTATCTTACTTAACGCAGAGCGGTAAGATGGCTGCACATAGACGCCTGGCAACTTCTGCTTCACAACCAAGGTACTAAAACAAAAGCAGTATAACAATTAACTTGTATGGATGCCAACGGCATATACAGATCAAAGCATCCTAAATTGAGACTAGGAGTCATCTCTTAAGGGGCAGGTGACACCCAAACCATACAAGCCAAGTCATCATGTCTTTTACCTGACAACTCTGATCACTGCCCGCTTACTGGCTTCATAACCAACTCACAGAATCTCAAGCCAATGAAGGGCCCCATATTAAGAAAGTCAGGGAAGCTGGGCACAGTGGCACAAGCCTGTAATCCCAGCAGCTCAGGAGGTCTGGGGATGTGGCT